CATACAGTATAACCAAATGCTTATTCTTCCCCACATTCTATAATTCTTCCCAAAAGGGAAAAAAGTGAAATTAAAACGATTTTAAATACTCAACCTAATAATCCCAGTCCAGCTCAAGCTCAGTGCCTAGTTGGTCCCAAATGCTACAGAGATGTGAACTGCTCTCAATGGGCACTTTTCTGTGGGGAAAATTTTATTATGGTGCACATGCACTATGATGGAGCCTCAGTCAACCTTCACTAAACTCATGTAGAAATACTAAAATCATCTTCCACCAGGGAAAACTGGGGGAGGGGGGGAACTCTACAAAACCAAAGCCACCTTACATTTATTCATTTACTTTTGATTCTAATACTGAGTCAGGCTTCATTCGGGGTTTGACTAAAGCTGTATTCAAAGCAGAGCTTCCACATCACCCTCATTTTAAGAGTGAGGCTAATACCAGCAAGCTGGAGGAACTCTTGGCTCATAACCTGAAAACAGTCATTTGGTAAATCAATAGATTTGCCCTTTTCCTCAAAAGTGGGGGCAATGCTAATCAGAGCACACATGTAAATGAGCATCTCCTGATTAGTGAGACTTACTTCAGCCAAAATAATTCTTTACTCCTGTTAAATCAGTTGGATACCTCATGCTAATTTTCTGCTTGGCTTGTGAGTTCATTTTCCAGCATCTTTAATACGATCTCTCCTTCAAAATATTGGTTTGAACAAGAAAGTGACTCCTGTTTGGAAAATCATATTCCAGGTAACTCATGCAGCATCGATGCTCCTTCACACTCCAATAGGGTATATGCACAATAGAACATAAGAGGGGAAATCGAACTTAGTAAACTAGTATTTGAGAAACAACGTGGATCGTGACTAGGCTGTGAAGCCAGGAAGATTCGAGTTCAAATTCTGCTTCTGAGATATACCAGCTGTGTGACCTGTTGCTGCTCAATTTTGGTCATGTCTGACTCTGTGACTTCATTTGGGGTTTTCTTGGCAAAGTGACTTTGCCATTTCCTTCTCCAGCTCATTTTACAGGTGAGGAAACTGTGAGTCTAATGACTTGACCAAGGTCACACAGCTAGTAAGTATCTGAGGCTAGATATGAACCCAGGAAGATAAGTCTTGCTGATTCCAGGCCCAGCACTCTATCCACTGCACCACCTAGCAGCCAGAGCAAGGAATTAACTTCTAGGTGCTCTAAGAAACTGCAAATTGCAGAGAAGGTGCTGACCCGGATTATCATCTGGGAATTCTCTGTATCAATGAAATCATAGGGTTTAGTATTTATTCCTAAAATAGCATTTATTAATAGTTTTGATAAAAGCTAGATAAACAAAGAGGGTAAAATTATTGGCTGAGATAAGGGAGATAAAGGTTGGAAAAGTTCTCTATGGTACTCATTCATTCTTCCTATGGATTACTTTGAGACTTAGTTGGACTCATTTGAAAGTGTGACTGATGAGCTCAGCTGGTTAAAGCATAGTGCTAATGAGATTAATGTCATGGGTTCTGTCTACTTGGCTCTCCTCCCATTCCATGGCCAAAGACAGAACCACCTTCTCTCAAAAAGCAGGTGGCTTTGTAACAAGTCTGTAAAATAGCAGCTCTTGACCTTCTTTGAGTTATGAATCCTCCCCCTCCTTTGGCAGACTGGTAAAGCCTTATGGATCCCTTTTCAGAGTAATTTTTAAATGCATAAAATATAAAATGCATAGGTTTACAAAGGAAACTAATCATACTGAAATAGTTACCAAAATACAAGGGCCCCATGTTAAAAAAAACAAAACAAAACCCTGCTAAATATCCAGCCAGTGTAGACATAGCTGTAAGATAGCAATGTTGTCCTATTTTATCACCCAAATGCATTCATCTGGGATAAATCACAGTAGACTGATGAAAAGACTTAAAAGGATATAGGGGTTAATTTATTATAGGCAAAGTAGAAAGAGCATCGGATTTGGAGTCAGAGGACCGTGGACAAGGTGCATAGTAAGTCTCTGCCTTCGATCTTCTCAACTGTAAGAGGAGGGGGTTGTACTAATGTCCCCTCCCACTCAAGATTCATGACCATATGTCTTTTTTTTTCCATTTAAATCCTCATTTATACCTTCCTTGTTTCTCCATGTAATATTCTACACCTGGCCAGAGTAACAGTGAGTGTCAGATAACTCAATAGTACCTTATCCAAAGTTCAGAGCTTTCTTGAAGTGAGACAGTGTCAGCTTGAGAAGAGGGATACATGTTTTTCACTAAAGTGGTTGTATTTTTTTCTCCATTTCTGATATGTCCATCTACCCCGCCCTTGTTCTCCCCAAGATATCGTGTGGGGGAAAAATACTAACAGACTAATTCACTTAAGTAAAACATTTGGAATTTACCTAAACTATTTACATCCTAAATGGAGGAATATAACAATTTCCTCAGTGGACTTCTAATTACCCAGAAATCTAGTTGTTATATATTCCCCTAAAGTCCTTCCATGGGGAATCTAGGTGATGCAGTAGTTAGAGCACAGGGCTTGGAATCATGAGTTCATATCTGGCCTCAGACACTAACTGTATGACCCTGGGCAAGTCAATTAACCCTATTTGCCTCAGTTTCCTCATCTGTCAAATGAGCTGGAGAAGGAAATGGCAAACCACTCTGGTATCTTTGCCAAGAAAACCCCAAATCAGGTCATGAAGAGTTGGACAATGCTGAAGAACAAAAATTCATTCCAGGGAACTGCTAAGAGCACTTATACCTCATTTAAATATTCTTTTGCAGAGGGCACAATTTTCCTTATCAACAATCAACAAAGCAAAGAAATGGGATGCCATAGGATAACCCCTCCCTCTTTCCACACAAGCCCTGAAGGCTTATCTTTAGATCCCTATGTCTGTAGAATAAAATACAAACTCCACAGTCTGACATTCAACTGACTTCTATCTACCCATTTTTCCAGCTTTATTTCATATTTTTCATCTTCATGCAGTATTCTACATCACAGTCAAACTAGACTACTAGCCATTTCCCAAATTCAACATGATACCTTCCACACATTCACAAAGGCCATCCCCTCTCCTATTCTCCCATGCCTGGAATGCCTTCCCTTAAACCCCGGATTTCCTACTTTAGTTACTGGTGCCTCTCTACAGAAATTACACTGTATTTACTTTACATTTGTCCAACTCTGCCTCACTTAAATCCAATTCATTGCACAAGTCAAGACATCACCCATGCTGTCACTGGTGCTTTTTGAAAACAAAGGGCGAAATAACCACTTTGAATATATCTAGGGGTGGGCCATATTGTTTTCCTCCTATAAGACATAAGCTGCCTAAAGGCATGATCTGCTTCATTTTTGTCTTTTTAACTGGAGTGCCTAGTAGAATGCCTGGCACATAGTAAGCACTTAATAAATGCTTGTTGATTGGATGTTAAAATCCTTCTCTTCCTTTAAGTCTCACCTCAAGTGACCCCCAGGCTCCTCCAAGACACTTTCCCTGATCCTTACATAACTTCTCCATTGTTATTCTCCTACTCTATCTACCCTGTTTTACATTTATCTGATTTGAAGGAAAAAAAAAAAGGAAAGCTGTTGTTTCACTTTTGTAGTTTAGAAACCTAGACAGAAAATAGTTCAATAACAATAGATTCAGCTGGGATAAAAGAAGTAGTAGTCTTGAGGAAAAATTTGCTGGAGAAGAAGAAAAGGAATCTGAGATGACTGTGTGTGTGTGTGTGTGTGTGTGTGTGTGTAGGTGGCATGACTGAAGAAAAGTAGGAAGCATCTCTCTGGATACTTCTATTGAAATACAGTACTCTTTTCACTGGACTGTTTATGGAAGACGGATGTAAAATGTGAAAGGAAAAGGATGCATTCAGAATCCACCAGGAGAAACAGTTATCTTAGATGTATCCTGCCTTTGGCAAATGCAACATCTGAAAAACCTGGATTTAAAACATAGATCAGGAGGCAACTTTGCCACAGTTTAACATGATGCTTAACAGATGTATCTTACTTCATGTGGCAGATGGATCATCATTGATACAGCAAGTTATGAGTCATGCAGAAAATTGTATACATTCATTTCTATAATATTTAAAATTCATTAGGGAAGCTTGCCTTTTTTCCCCCTTTTTACAAGGCTACTTCATTTAGGAAGTCATGCAGGTGAAGGCAGGGTCTTACCAGTGTTAAGTGGTCACTAGACCTTTACCTTTGTACTTGTGACCAGTTCAGAGAATTCAGCCTACAAAAGCCCAATACCTTACATTTTTAAACCATTTACACTTTTCAAAGCCCTTTTCATATCTGTGCTCTCACTGCAAACCCAATTTTTACAGCTAAAGAAAACCAGGCCCAAACAGATTAAGAGACCTGCCCAAAGGCTACATAGGTAGTTATAATGAAAGAACCTGAACTAGGACCTGGTTCTCTTTGTTCCTAAGTCATGGACGCTTTCAACTATACCTACACAAATGCATTTTGTGTCTAAAATGACTTATGATTAATTTCTAGGACATATATACTGGATTAGGGGAAAGATTATGTGTGTGTGTGATTTCATGGCTTCTGAAATGAAATGAAAATGACTTTGGACTTGGCAGATTCTCTTGCCTTGCTTTACTTCAAGATTTCCAATCGAGTAAAACATAAACTGTGTTGAAACTCATATCCAAAGTGGATTTTTGGTGAAGTCAGTAGTCTTATACCGAAGAGTTTTAAAAAGGCATTTTAAATACACACACACACACACACACACACACACACACACTCACACACTCACACACTCTCTCTCTCTCTCTCTCTCTCTCTCTCTCTCTCTCTCACTTACTTACTGGAAAGCCTTATTTGTCTTGAGGACTACCTAGGTATACCTACCAAGTCATACAGTGCATAAGTAAATGCAAATCACCCATGCAAGGCAATTTGTAAGACTAAATTTTTTAAAGGGAGTTAAATCTAGCATGTTCTAAAGTAAAAGCCATAAAAATGACCTCGGAGTTGACAAGTTCTCATACCTTACTTTATTCTTCCTCTTCTTCTGTGACTCCCGTCTCTTTATGCACCACCACTCTTGTGACTGACATGTCAGGGTGCTGCTCTTTGGCTTCCTTAATTGCTTGCGCCAATGCCTAGAGGGGGGTAGAAGACAGATGATTTGGGTTAGTGATAAGTGGTAAAATTAGAAAACGGTATTTTAAAAGGATCTCTATGGATAGGGCCCTGGGCTTGGAAAAAGGAAGACTTATCTTCCTGAGTTCAAATCTGGCCTCAGACACATCATAGCTGTGTGACCCTGGGCAAGTCACTCAACCCTGTTTGCCTCAGTTTCCTCATCTGTAAAATGAGTTGGAGAAGGAAATGGCAAACCACTCCAGTATCTTTGCCAAGAAAATCCCAGAAGTGGGTCACAAAGAGTCAGACACAACTGAAAGGACTGAACAATAACAACAACTATTTATATCTCTTGACAACACAGCTATCCCACTACTGGCATGGACCCTGAGGTCATCAGAAATAAAAGTCCTATCTACTGGTATCTATATGTATGTAAATACACACTTTTTTCAGGAGCCAAAAAAAAAAAAAGAAAACAAAGTGGGTGACTATTGGGGGAAGGTCAAACAAAGGAATGGTACAGGAATGTAACAGTAATTTACTGTGCAAAAAGAAATGATGAATATGAGGAATTCAGAGAAACAATAAAAAGACCTTAATGAACTGATACAGAGTAATGGAAGCAAGCTAAAACCAAGAAAATCATCTACAAAAATGACCACAATGACTCAAATGAAAACAACTCTGAATTTAAGGACTAATCTTGGTCCTAGAAAACAATGATGACATAAACACACTACCCTCCTCTTGGTAGGGAAGGGGTTGATGATAGGATTTTATATCTAGACTTGGAAAGATAATCTGAGGTCTAATCTAGCATGACCCCTTTATTTTTCAGATGAGGGAACTAAGGAGGGTAAGTGATTTAAATGCCCAAGGAGCAATGGGTTTTCTAAGTTTCATTTAACTGTTTTTCTTTATGACAAGGAGGATTTTATTGGGGGGTAGAAGTGGTACAGGCATGATGGGAAATAACGATGATTGCTTCAAAAAAAAAAAAACCAAAAGCATTAATAAAACTCTTTTTAGAGGGGCTGACTAATTAAATTCTCCAGACCTACCGGATTCATTGCCTTATATGCATGTATGAGAGGGAAAGAATGGGTTACAGTGCCCCCTCGTGCTCATGTCAGGTAATGTTTCTTTATCAAAGGCAGAGAAAAATTCTTTACATTTGTTCCCCTGATTACCTCTCCAGCCCCACCCCCATTTACTTTGGAAATACTGAAAAGCACAGAGAGGCAATTAATCAGGACAGAATAATAGAATGCAAGAGTTGGAAAGGATCTGAGAAATCACTTAGTCCAACTTCATATGAAAGAAAAATTGAAGCTCAGAAGGAACTAAAATCCAGCTCTCAGTGTTCCAGGCAGCTAACTCTTTTCAGCATGCCACTCTGAGAAAACATGGATCAGCATAAACTTTCTTTATCCATGCATATAAAAAGCATGCAATCTTTGCAGGTAGGAGGCAAAGGAAAACAGAATGGAGAAGCACAAAAAGCATTGCTTTTAGACGAAGTTAGAATTCCCTGAGAGCAAAAGTAATGATCTTTCTTTGATTTTTAAAGTTGGAAAGAAATCCAACCTAGGATAGATTACTGTATCTTGTTAGGAAAACATGGATCCAAAATGTAACACTACAATATGTCTAATACCATATGTCTTCACTAAGTCTACTGGCATCTGGTTAATGCCAAAAAAAATTAGCTTTTACAGAATGATTTGAGTCGTGAGTTATCCTGTGCAAAGAATATTATCTATAAAAACAAGAGTCAGAAAATGTAGACTATGAGAACTGCAAAAAAGCTTAAATATACTTAAATGTTTGTGCTATCAACAGAACGTGGTAAATTAGGAGGAGGTGGTGGTGGTGCGGAAAGGAACATAGGTACAGTAATATGTTAAAAATCTTGTGTGCATACATGCATGCGTATGGGATGGGAAGGAGGTAAAAATCAGGGAAAGAGTGTGGATGGAAATAAATCTAACTGTAGCTACAAAGCATCATGTGTTACTGCATGCTTTTTTAAAAAAACTATATCTAAGGTATCATATAACCAAGGCATTCCTACATAAATTGTTTATGCTTCAAAGGACTTGAGAAAGCACCTAGGCACAGTGGTTCTTACTCTTTTTTGTGTCATAGACCTTCTTCAGGTAGTCTGAAGCCTACGGACCCCTTCTCAGAACATTTGTAGCCTATATTCCTAACTGAAGAATATCCTAAATTTCAGCTAGAGGTTAGTGAAAATAATACAATTATTTTTTTCCAGTCAAGTTCACAAACTCCCTGAAATCTGTCCATAGACCAGTGGGGGCTCTGTGGATCCTGGATTAAGAAGAGATCTAATCAAACTTTTCACTTTACAAATAAAGGCCTGCAAATTAGTTGCACGGTAATTAAGTGCTTTATAGATAGTAGGTATATAATGAATGTTGGTTGAACTGAACTGCAATTTACAGCACTTTGGCAGACACAGCCAATAATTTATCCTACAACTAGCAACTCCTTTCCTGGAGCACGGGGGTGGGGAAAAGTTGGTGTTTAATCCTCTCGCTGTTGTTTGATATAGAAATAGCTTTGTTATATCAGTCATACCAACATACTACTTAGAATGCAGCAATAGTCTTTAAAGTGGATTCCAACCTGTATTCATTTGGTGAGCATCTTATTCCGGCAATATGCCTGGTACATAATGGAACCTAAATGTGCATTAAAGTATGTTTTGGTTGGCAGAAAGTTACTTAGGCACTTAGAGTTGTTTCCTTTGCCTGGGCATCAAGGCAGAAGTGAAACCAGAAGCTACTGCAATAATTTTCCTTCCATAAAACCAGCATTTTAAAATTGCATTCCATAAAAAATATGGATTTGTTGGCATTCTAATTGAGAATTTTAAGAAAAGATGGTCAGTCAATAAACATTTATTAAGTACCACATACCAGGCACTGTGTTAAATTCTAGGGATACAGATGAAGGTAAAAATAATGCCTACCCTCAAGAAACTTACTCTGTAATGAGGGAAACTTTCTATTTGAACCTGGAGCTAATAAGGATTTTAAGGAGGTAATAATTGGACTTTACTGAGTAGGAGGTAATGTGGGCAAACCTACACTTTAGGAAAATCACATTGGCAGCTGAGTGTAGGATAAATGGGAATGGGGAGAGACCAATTACCAGGCTGTTGTATTCATTCAGGACAAAGGCAATGAGAGCCTGAACTACAGCAGTGGCTATGTCAGTAGAGAAAAGGGAATGTTGGATATAGTGAGGGAGCAAGAATGAGGAGAAAGGGATGACACCAAGGTTTTAAGCCCTAATAACTGGGAGGACCGGTGGTGAGCTTGGCAATAATGGGATTTTCAGAAGACAGAAGGGTTTGGTGGGAAAGATAATAGACATATCAAGTAGGAGGTACCCACAGGCACACCCAGTTTGGGAAGCCCAAAAGGCACTTAGCAGGCACAGATTTGGAGGTTATGTTATCTCCTAGCAACTTGCTGTGGGAAAAGATCAATTGTAGAGCTTGTTGGGTCTCTGATTAAGATTTGGAAACTTAATATGGAACACACTATGCAGGTTTCCGCTGTTTGGAACCAGGTGGTATATATAGTGTATAGAGCACCAGATCTGGAGTCAGGAAGACCTGAGGTCAAATCGTGCTTCAGACACTTACTAGCTCTGTGACCCTCGGCAAGTCAACCCTGTTCGCCTCAGTTTCCTCATCTATAAAATGAGCTGGAGAAGGAAATGGCAAACCACTCCAGTATCTTTGTCAAGAAAACTCCAAATGGGGCCACAAAGAGTCAGACACGACTGAAAAGACTGAACAGTGAGTGAATTCAGAATTCTGTTTCTTTATTACATATTTGTATTTGTTCACTACTGACCTCTTAGGTTTTGGAAAAGATCTGGGAAAGAGGTCTGTGATATTATTTGAGATACTACTTGATCTTCTCAACATTGACAATGAAGGGAGAGCTAGCATCCTCATTCAATTCTCAACAGCTTGGTCATTTAATTATGGCCCTCAAGAACAGACAAGCACAATAGAACATGAAATTAAATTTCCTAAAAAAGGCTATGCTACATTATAATTAAGAATGAAAATTAAATCAGCAGGTTTAGACTTTTTAAAACAAATTTCAGGGAAGGCTAGTGAGTAGAAGGCATACAGATTTTGGCTCAGTTTTAAGAAAGGACTTTTTTTTTTAAAAAAAAGCAATTTAAAGCTGTCTAAAAATGAAAAGGGGTTTTCGTGCTAAGTAATATATCTCCTGCCATGGAAGTGGCTCAGGTAAAGACTGGATAACTGCTCTAGAGTTGTTATGTTCTAGAATGAATTTCCCTATCATTAAAGGGGGCTGGATAGAAACCAGGTACTCTACTACTCTTCTACTAGTTGCAGGAGAGCGCTGGGCTCAGAGTCAGGAAGATTCACCTTTGTGAGTTCAAATCTGGCCTCAGACACTTCTTAGCTGTGTGACCCTGGGCAAGTCACATAATCCCATTTGCCTCAGTTTTCTCATCTATGAAATGAGAAAGAAAAAGGCAAAACCATTCCAGTGTCTCTGCCGAGAAAACCCCAAATGGGGTCACAAAGAGTCAGACAGGACTGAAAAATGTCAGAACAAAGGGAGTTGGACTTCAATGACCCTATCTGAGATCCTGAAGTTCTAAGACATCTTAGGTCCTCCTCACCTGTGTGTTTATTTTCAATTTCAAAATGGGATCCAAGTCATCATATAATAGCGGCTGTATCCCTAAATAGTAATTAATGTCAATATTTCATTATAATAACTTCCTAATACTAAAGTTATGCATACCTACTATTTGGCACCTACATTTCAGATTTCTGCATATTTGGTTTTCACTAAGATGTGTTGCAAAATACTAATCCTAGACTAGAACTTTCATGTAAACACCAAAAAAGGCCAAAAAAAAACCAGGGCTGAAATCATGTCTGAGTTAAAATTCCTGTGGGAAAGGAGCTATGTTGAAGATCTAAGGAGTTTGGTTGCAGGGGCAAGAGGGAAAGAGTTGGAGGGAAATCAACTTTTGCTTGGGGAAAATAGAAATCTCCAGAGGTAATTCCTTCCCAGACTTACTGTGGAAGCAGCCCCAGAACTGGCCGGTAGGGCTGGCAAAAATAAAGGGCAGGAATCTGGCCCACTTTCATGTGAGGCCAGGAAGTGGAGGATCCTCACTCAGACTAACCTGAACTGACAGGTCATATAATCGGTTCCATACCTTTCTCAAGGACACTCTTCTAACACAGAAAGAATGCCCTCTGGTTACAGTAAAGGAGAAAGGCAATTTTAACTTTAAAAATCTGTCTCTGTTCAATACTGCTTCAAGTTTCTCTCCCCACCCACCAACCCCAAGTCATTCAACCACATTGAATTTGGTTTTCCTACTCTGTACTTTAAAGAAACTGGCTCAGTCCCTAACTTGCCCTCCTTCTCCTTGATCTCCTTGGAGTGGTTGATAATGTGGACCATGACTCTATTTCCAGATACTCTCCTGGCTTCTCCAAATATTATATTTCTGGTAATCATCCTTTCTGATTAACTCTCCTGTTTCCTCTACTGGCTTCTCTGTAGCTCACATCTCTGCAAAAGGAGCCAGTGAAGAGCTCCTGGATCACTCTGGTAGATGAGTCTGACCTTTATAAGTGAGAGATGGCCATTTTTATGCTCTCTCAACATTCTCTGCAAAAATATAGCATTGTGCATCCTTCCTCAGAATTTAGGTAAACATGAACTCGTGTGGAATGGCAGAAAGAGCACTGACTTAGAGCAAGAACGCTTCACTTAAAATCCAAGATTTGCTACTTACTACTATGGGATCCTGGCAAGTCACCTCAACTCTCTAACCCTCATTTCCTCAACCATAAAATGAGGAGGTTGGATTATATGGTCTTTGAAGTCTTTTCTAGCTCTAAAGTCTATCATCAAATATATTATTCTTTTTACTTTCAGATTTTTTTGGTCTTACTGATAAATAATATCAATCAATCAACATTTTTTTGGGGAGAGGCAATTGGAGTTAAGTGACTTGCACAGGGTCATGTAGCTAGTAAGCATCTGGCCTAGTGCTCTATCCACTATGCCATCTAACTGCCCCATCAATAAACCTTTATTAAGCGCTAACTACGTTCTAGGCACTGTGCTTCCTTTTTTGAAGGAAGGTACTGATTTACCTTTTATCTATATAACCTCCATGTCCAGCATAGTACCTTAAACATAGCAGGTGTTTAAAAAAATACTTAATGCACTAAAATTGAGCCTTCTTCAAGGTTCTGGCCTTCGCCTTTTCTCTCCCTCTTCTCCTTTCACTCTCACTCCCTTGGCAATTTCATCTTCATTTACAGTTTCAACTATCACATCAATGCAGGTCACTCCAACACTACCTAAGTTCACTCTTAACGTCTCTCCCGAGCTCAGGACCTGCACTTCCAAGTGCTATGGGGATATTTCCATCTTGGAATTCCATAGGTACATCAAATTCAACATGTCTGTAACTTATTATTTTCTCCTCAGAACTTGCTTCTCCTCCAGATTTCATCATGTTTATTGATGACACCAACATTCACCCAAGGTTCCATGGCCATAATCCCGTGGTTTTCTTTGACTCTTCCCTGTGATAACTTATCTGAATTAATTATACTAAACTCTCTCTTCATTTTGTTCCTTCTTTCTATGCCCATTGCCTCCACCCTACTTTGAACTGTCATTACTACTCAGCATGACCACTGTCTCCTATCTGCTTTTCCTGAATCCTTAGAGCTGACCACACCATTCTTCTGCTCAGAAGCCTTTAGCATCTCCCTACTGTCTCTCCTGAGTAAAATGTAAAATTCTTACCCTGGCATTCCACATCCTTCATAATTTGGTAAAACTCTATCTTTTCAGGTTTATTTCATGCAAGGAACCATCACCCATACATGTCCCGTACTTTCCCATCTCTTGTGCCTTTGCTTACGTTGCTTCCTATACCTAGAATGTACACCCTTTCCTCCTCTCTCTATTATATTCTTGCTACTCCACTAAGGTCCAAATCAAATACTACTTCCTACAAGAAGTCCTCTTAAAGTCTTCCACAATCTGGTTTTATCATCACTCCACACACTCTACATGGCAGTCAAACTGGACTACTCTCTGGCCTCCAAAGACACCCTGTAACCCTATAATCTGGATCCTCTAATCTTTCCTAACGCTATTCCTCCTGCCTACAACATCCTATCCCTTTTTTCCTATTTGTTGAAGGCTTTCCCACTCTTTAAAGGTCAAATGCCATTTCCTCCCCACCCCCAAAGATTTCCCTTGATCTGTATAGCTGTTACTGACTTTCCTCCTTGGATCTCACATGACACTTTCATTAGGGCTAAATGTCAATGTTGGGTACTTCAGTACAGAAAAATCAACCTGGAAGCATAACATGAAGCATGGCATGGATGGACAGCAGTTATCCTGAAAAGGATATAGGAGTTTTAATGGACTGGGATATTAAGGCAATTCTAGACTGTATTCAAAGGGACATAGCTTCCAGGAATAGAGAGGTGATCATACCATTGTGCTATGATCTTGTAACACATCATAATAACATGTGTTATATTCAGTTCTAGGTGTCATAGTTTAAGAAGGATACTGATGAACTTAAGGTACAGAGGACATTGGCCAGAATGGTAAAAGGTATTGAATTCATATCACATAAAGATCAGAGAAGCATCAGAGAGAATATCATATCGTATCATCTGAAAGGCTACCATGTGGGAAAATTTAGGTTCAAGGTTAGGAAAAACTTGTCAGCAATCAGAGCCACCAACAAGTAGAAAGGGCTGCCTAAAGGGATATTGATTTCTCTTCCCTTGAAGATCTTAGAGCAGAGAGGCTGGACAACCACTTCTTGGATATGTTACAGTAGGCCTTCCTTTTGTATATGAACTAGACAAGATGGCAACTAACAATTCTTCCAACTCTTAAATCTTACGACTGTAGTAATACATTCATTGTGTGACATTATGTATTGTAATTCTCTAGGTTTGTATCTTATCCCTCTACTAAACTATAAAGTTCATGAGGGCAGGAATTATGTTTTATCTGAATTTTGTACTTACACCTCATTGCTGAGCATGATGCTCTAATCAGAGTTGGCACTTACACATTTATTTGTTGTTGATGAGTCTGTGTATATCATATATCATACATACACACATCCCTACCCTTTATCACAAACACATGCTTTCATAAACCATAAGTCTTCTTATAATACTAAAATATTAAAAATCCCCTACCTCTGAGATCAGATTCTATTCATTTATCTGTACTCGATACAAGCTATAAGAATCAGCAGTGTATGACTTTACTTTGCTGTAAAAGAGCCCAGGTGCCTTTAATGTAGCAAGTTAAAAATACAACACACACCCACTATTCACATCACCTGGTCAGTTCCTTTAACTATTTCCAGTATATCACCTCTTGAAAACTATTTATGTGGCCACAAGTTAACACTAGAAGTTCATTCATGATTTTCTTAGACTCAATTAATTTAATGTTCCACTTTTTCTACTGAACTAATAAAGATAAAGTGCAGGATAGATATATCTGATGATGGTAAATACACAATTTTTCAGGAGTATAGAAAAATACCTTTAAAAATAAACTTTTCAAATAGTTGTGGCAAAGTAACACACCAGTAGCTAATTTCATCTTATTCATTCATTTTATTTATTAGTAACTATCATGAATAGGTTACCATTAATTCCTATAATTCTGGTGATTTACATTATTTTTGACACATCAATCACTATCCAACAAATTGGCATCCCTTACCCAACCAACTGCAATCCAATAATACTTTCCCATCAAAATAATGAAGCAAAATCAAATAGGGAGTTTTCAATCAACAGTACATTTATTTTACCTTAAAACAAAACAACAACAAAACCCCCAACTATATGGAGTAACTAAAAAAGGTACTATAGATTATTCTGTCTTCAAAAGTATAGGTCTAACAGTAGGGGGAAAAATAACATTCTATTTGCTGTATTTATTCAGTGCTAAATGCTACTTTATTTTTATACAAAGCTGTAATTCTAAGTAGTCTAATTAAGTGTAGTGTGAAAATAAGCACTAGTCCATGTGACTTCGGGTCAAGGAAAAACTGGGAAAGGAAGAACTCAGGGCTTAACAGGGGTATATGATTTTCTTTTTTTTATATTTGGCTAACTGTATTTCAATATACTTTATTTCCTTCATAATCCTATGTATTTTACTTCATGCTTTTTAAACATTATTCTAAATGTATTCTTGTATTGTGAATTGCCAGACTGTGGGGTGGGGCTGGGGTGGAGGGTCCATGATACAAGTTAAGAATCCTTGGCCTAAAAGAAGTTAGGCTACGCACCTAAAATATGTTTCTATATTCTGCTTCATTTTTCAAAGCCATTTTGGTTTGGTTTTCTTTTATATGTTTTTGGGAAGGAGGTCAGACTATAATTATTAAGTATGTACTAACAGGGTTTGATAAATATTTACTTTATAGAATGGGCTTTGGGCAGGGACTTATTTTCTATTAGTCTACTACTATAAGAAATAAAAAGTAGATACAACTGCTGAGGGGAAAGAAGTGATATTATTAATCAATCAATCAATCAGTCAACAAGCCATTATTACATACTACAGGCCAGGCACTGTGGTAAGCATTGGAGATACAAAAGTAAGATAAAAGAAGTCCTTGATGAAATATGTTTTACCACTGAATATTTTTGAGTCAAAGATTTTCTGAAAAATATTTTATTGAAAAATAGAACACACACAAACCTATATGAATACACATGAAAAATCCTACTTCTACAATCTATGAGACTCACCTGGTCATGATCAATATCGGCATCTCCTGTGATGACAATTCGTTTCTCAATTCTTGTTTCAGACACTCCGCCTTTCACTGTCTAAAAGTCATAAGGGAAAATAAATTAGAATGAAGTCACTAAATTCATACACACACACACACACACACACACACACACACACGTGTGTGTATTTCTATTTAATAAAAAATATGAGAATGGGATTCAGTACAGTATTACCAGGCAACTAAATCCTTTTGGGAGAATGAAGCTAATGGTGGTTTATGTTTGAATTTATTAGAGAACACTTTTGCACCCAAAGATGGAATCAGTTTCCAAGTGAAATGGGCTTTAAGATGTACTTGTCCTGAATCGGATGAAATTAGAACAAACATATAAACTAGGCCTGCTGTTTTTGTTGTTGATTTGTCTGCAAATTTTGGCTTGGTTTGAGATTTGGTTTAAAAAAAAAGCACTGGGGTTTGGTTGGGATTCAGCAAATTAGTCACTTTGGTTTTTAAAACATTTTATTTAATCCAATTCACTTTTTAGTGATGTGGATTAACATATGGATGGACAGGGGAGTGGAAAGGGCAGGAGAGGGGAGAAGACACTCACATTTCCATGTCTTAGTAAGTTCACAGGGTATGTCAGGAACTAGTCTCTAGAGATTTTGTTAACCTACTTGCTGCAACACAATGTGTGATATTTTATTACAGGCAAGAAAGCTCCATGTCACACAGTCCTTTCAAAGGCAAACAAACATTTAAGTGTCTGTAAATCTCTGAGTCAGATTCCTGAAACCACAAAGGGCAGTGTGTTTAAAAGGACTCTGGCCCATGGGATAACATGAGACTCAAAGCGATTTCTTTTTCAAAATGAGAGACCTGGCAAATGTGCCAAGAGACAAGGAAAAATGCCCAAGAATATTTTAGAATATTAAAAAAAACACTAGCATCACTGATATGGAAAAATGAATAGGAAAAAAAGGGGTTGGAAAATAACTCTAAGGAAGAAATTTTTTTAGTATATGGTTTTATCAGATGATCACAGTGGTAGTTAAACCAAAGTGACTGGACCAAAAATACATGATTTAAAACATTTTTATGGCAATATTTTCAGCCCCTGCCCTCCTTAAGATACTTTGGGAGACTAAGCTATACTTACAAAGTCTACAATGCCACATTTTTCTCATCTAAATGCTAAACAAATAAACCCTTTAATTATCTTCACCCTCTGACTTTGATTACGTTAAACTGAAAAGTTTTTGCATAAACAAAGCCAATGCAACCAAGATTGAAAGGGAAGCAGAAAGCCGGGAAACAATTTTTACAGTGTCTCTGATAAAGGCTTCATTTCTAAAACATAGAGAACTGAGTCAAATTTGTAAGAATACAAGTCATTTCCCAACTGAATGATCAAAGGATATGAATAGGCAGTTTTCAGAGGATGAAGTTAAAGCTATCTATAGTCATACGAAAAAATGCTCTAAATCACTATTGATTAGAGAAACGGAAATCAAAACAACTCTAAGGTACCACATCATACCTCTGATTGGCTACCATGACGGAACAGGAAAATAATAAATGCTGGAGATGTGGGAAAATTGGAACTAATAATGCATTATTGGTGGAATTGTGAACTGACCCAACCATACTGCAGAGCATTTGGAACTATGCCCAAACTGTGCACACTCTTTGACCCAGCAATACTACTTCTAGGGCTGTAACCCAAAGAGATCATAAAAATGGAAAAAAGGATCCACATGTGCAAAAATATTTATAGCAGCTCTTTCTGTGGTGGCAAAGAATTGGAAATTGAGGGGATTACTATCAATTGGGGAATGGCTGAACAAGTTGTGGTATATGATGTAATAGAATACTATTGCTCTATAAGGAATGATGAGCAGGCAGACTTCGAGAAGCCTGGAAAGACTTTTATGAACTGATGCTTAGTGAAATAAACAGAACCAGGAGAACACTACACAGTAACAGCCACATTATGGGATGACTTACTTTGATAGACTTAGCTCTTCTCAGCAATGCAAGGACATAAGACAATTCCAAAAGACACAAGATGGAAAATGCTATCCACATCCAGAGAAAGAGAACTATGGAGTCTGAATGCAGAGGGAAGCATACTATTTGCTCTCCTTTTCCTTTGGTGTTTTATTTCTTCTTTCTCATGGTTCTTCCCATTAGTTCTAATTCTTCTTTACATCATGGCTAATGTGAAAATATGCTTAATATGGATGTGTAAGTAGAGCCTGTATCAGATTGCATGTCGTCTTGGGAAGGGAGAAGGAAAGGGAAATGAAGAAAATTTAAAACTCCAAATCTTTTGGGAGTGAATGTTGAGAACTAAAAATAAATTAATTATTAAAAAAAAATCTTCATCCTCTCACCCTTTCAGGATGACTATCTTCTATGTGATACAGATGAATTTGACTTCAAAACCTGAATTCTTAGGTGATAGAAGTGAAATTATGGTATTTTCACTCTCTTAGCATTATCACTTTGAAGTTGTGTAGTAGGAGGGTGGGAAGAGGGAAAAAAGTACAATTCAAAAGAGGTGAATTATTATGAAAGGACCATCTTTTTAATTACTTTAATTTTAATTACTTTACCTTGGTGATATGTGTGGTCGTAGTTGTAGACACGGATTCAGAAGTGATGGTTTGTGCTGTCAACAATGTGCCAGCATCACCAACAGCACCGCCATCAATCTTTAGGTAGTTTAGGGGGAAAAAAAAAGTAATATTTGAGTATTAGTTGTGAGGAAAAGAACCCTCCCCACTGAACAAGTAGCTTTGAATACTGTTTTGTTGCAAACATATAGAAGTCTATAAAAATAAATGTGTTTATACACGGTCACTTGTATAGCATAAGCCATTGGCCAGGAGACCATCTGGTGGTTGGACTATGGAACAAAGATAGGGTAGAAGCTAGTTTTACCAAATAAAACTGTAAGGGATGAAGGAAAGGGAAAACAGAAAAGATGATCACTAAGAGAACCTATATGTAAGGAATCAGAATAGTGAGAAGGCTTTGAAGGATTGGAGGAACCAGTTATTCCCAGTCTCAGTTTTCCCCATCAGTAAAATGAAGGGGTGACACCTGAGGTCCCTTCCAGTTCTAGGTAGCTAGTCCTATGGTCCCAGGATACAAAGGTAGGTTTGTGGTTGAAAGATTCAGGAATATTTGAGGCCCAGAAAACCATCCCACCTGAGCTTATGGAAAGAAACTGCAGAAATTAAATTAAAAGGTTTATTATGTGACCAGGAGAGAATAGAGTACTTGCACTAGATGACACTTAAAAGAAAAGACCTCTTAAGTAGAGAAGGATAGCAATGGGCTGATTTCAAATGATATCTGATACAGAAAAATAACTAAAAACAAACAAAAAAAACCCCTCCCAATACTATAAGACTTGACTCTTAGCTGTTTTCTATGATGGCATTTTGTGCCTGTATCATTATCTCTACATCTATACAGTTAATAGTATAATAATTTTCACTTAAGTAGCAATTCAGTACACAAGCTGTCTACACCTTATAATAGTGGTTCTTGAACTTTATACTCTTAAAAGGGGCCCTTTATACTCTTAAAAATTACTGAGGACCCCAAAGAGCTTTTGTTTATGTGGGTAACCTATCTAATGATATTTATCATGTTAGAAATTAAAATATAAATTCATAAAATATTTATCCATTCTTTTAAGAATAACAATAATAAACATATGACATGATACCATAATGTTTTTATGAAAAATAACTCTATTTTCCAAAATAAAAAAAATAGTGGAGTATCATTATTTTACATATTTCTTGCAAATCTCTTTAATGTCCAATTGATTAGAAGATAGCTATTTTGATATATTATGTTCGAAGCCTATAAAGAAAATCTGGCCTCATATAGATATACAGTTGGAAAAGGAAAGAGTATTTTAATAAGCAAACAATATCTTAGTACTATTATAAAAGTAGTTTTGACTTCATGGAGCCCCTTGAAGGGTCCATGGGGACCTTCCCACAGATCTCACTTTGAAGACCTCTGACTTAGAGTAATAAGGAGAAATAGGAGACATAAAGGCGGGAGGGCTGCCCACACTGGGCAGAGGCATTAGTAATGACAGAGAAGGAAAGCCAATCTGAAGTCTGGTGATTCATTAGTATCAACTAATTGTAATCAACTGTCTAATTCTCAGACATTCACAAAAACATGAGGAATCAATACCAGGGAAAAAAGTGAAGAAGGCTGAAAGGGCTAAAATCCTTCACAAGTGAAATGGGTTGAATGTAGAAACACACTGCCAAAGCAAACTTTTTTCATGACGGCTCTTACAAAAACAACCTCTTTCTATTACCTCCCCTTTCCCTCTACTCAAACAGAAATATCTCTTAAAAACTTACCTGCTTTTGTTTCTATAGTATGTAAGGTTAATATCAGATATATGCCTATAATATCTTTTTTTTGGGGGGGTGAGGCAATTGGGGTTAAGTGACTTGCCCAGGGTCACACAGCTAGTAAGTTTCAAGTGCTGAGGCTAGATTTGAACTCTTCCTGACTACAAGGGCAGAGCTCTATCTACTGCGCCACCTAGCTGCCCCGCTATAATATCATTTTGAAAACTATATACTTAAGGCAATCATATACAGTAAGCAATGCACAAGAATATAACTGATCATACAAAATAACGCCTGTTTCAGAAATTTAAGACTTCTCAAATCATTATTTTACATGCTTTAAATAGTGACATTCTGAAATACTCAATGCTTCCTGCATATTTGCTATGTCTGTCTGGAGGGAAGCTATGTTTACACTTTATTTCTAATATTTTCATGAATACTGTCTGAAGAAACACCTGAAGTTTAAAAACACATGCTTGGCAAACTATAGCTGGACGTAGTAATATGTTTCATATTAAAGAAGGTCTTATATACCCTAGCACCAGGTCAAAATGTAATTGGGAAGTGTTTAAAAATAAATTGATGATTAAAAAAATAAATTGAAACATAGCTAACATTAACTTCGTAGTTTTCTAAATCAATATTGGCCCACAGGGATGTATTTCTATTTGAGTTTGACACCTAGTTGCCTCATTAAAGGGAAGGTACCAAAAGATACCTCAACCTCAGAGACGTGTAAACCACCAGAAAAAGCAGAGAAAAATAAGACAAAATAAAGTATCAAAAATTAAAATATTACCCCCCTCCTGTATGCCCTCCAAATCTTACTGCCTTTTTTTTTTTACCTGTGGAGATTCATAAGTGATGGTTTTGGTCTCTGTTTGGACAATTGGGACTTCCTTGGTGGAGATCTCTGTTCTTTGTGAAGCATCAGAAATAGTTACCATCTCTGTTTTTACCACTGGTGGCTGAAGTGGAAAAAGGAAGGCAACATTAAATTCTAATGATAATTAGGTAAAGCTGTTTAGTGGAACCATCAAAATAGCTATAAGAAACATCCACACATGCATTCATACACAAGAGAAAAAGAATCAGCAGGAAAAGCATTTAAAGGAAATCATCTTTCCCAATACAGCAAGAAATAAAATAGGAATGAGGGAGAGGAAAAACAAAAAGAAGTGGTTTGACATCTCTCATCTAATCTACTATTCTGAGGACACATTCCCTTCAATCAGGTAGGTGTCAAACCTATCATGCCTTGATTCACTGCAACAGGCTTTTAAGCAAGTAACAGCAGAATGCAAGAACCTATGTAGAATGAAATTCACAACAGTTGACTATAGTTCTCTAAGTTGACCATTTTTTAGAAGTCAATATGGCAGACGACAAAGATTTCACTGTTTGTATCACAGTTTGCATAAAGGTACATTCATGTGCAGATGATGTAGAGGCTCAGGTGGATTTATGTTTGCTCTTTCCTCATATTCTTCTTATTCCCACATACAAAGGGTACAGCGAGGAAAATGTTGTTTTCTTGAGAATTAACCACAGAGTCCTTTGTTTAAAGAAAAAAAAGCTGTCTTTTCTCAACATCAAAACAATGAAATTTTAAATGGGATCAGAAGAAAGCTACTATATCCATTTTGTGGTGGCATAGCTAGAATTCTTCCCCAGAGCGCTTTAAAATGGCCCCATGAGCTGGTATAATTTTAGCCTGCTAAGCATGTGTCAGACTCAGCTCTGGATCTGCAGTGGCAATGTATTCTTGAAAATAAATTAAAACAGCAGCACTATTGATTCTTGGAGATCACATTCCAAAGACCTATCTGGTTTTGTTTAAATGTTAACAACTACATATTAAAAGCAAACAACAACAATAATAATGATGCCACAAAAACAAAATCACAGGCTCTCAAAATGCATGTTCATGAGATAACAATATAGCCTAAAAAAGTAAATAGCACACAAATCCTCATTAAAATTTCAATATACAGTCAATTGAGGATTATATGCCCTAACAAAGGGAGGGTATGTTTATAAATATCTAAGGAAAAAAATCTAAACATCTTGTTAACTCAGCTCTGGATGCAGAGATAGGCAGTCTGCACAGTCAGTAGTCCCCTCTAACCACAAAACAATTTGGACCACCAAAGCAGGATTACTAGAAGTCAAGGAAGTTCATGGCCACAGGGGGAGAAAAGGGAAAGGCACAGAGATGCTGTGGATAATGCATAAAACATTTGATCTTGCTTCAAATAATCCAGAATTGACCATATAACAATTAAGGGTGAGGGAGGGGTCTCTGATTTAACAGGCTTTCTGGTTGCTCTGAGGGCTGGAAGGAGGTTTTTAGACAAACCACGTTATCTATAGAACCTTCAAAACACAAACACCACAATGACATCCCAAAAGCAATGCTTTGAAACTGTGAGGAGATACTACCACAGTATGGCAGTAATAGGAATGGTAATAAGTAATAAGGCCCTCCTTAACACTGTTTCACCTGGATAATCTCTTCCCGGCTCCATTCCACCCATAATGCTGTACTTATCTGGGAGATGAAAGAGAGATAGATCTGACACTGAGCTGAAGACTGAGAGAAAGTTTAGTTGTAAAGACCAAACCCAACAACAAGAACATGAAAACACAACCACTCACCCTTTGGACCACATTTCCCGACATTCAAACAAAGATCAATTTTCTTGCAGAAGTAATAAAAAGGGACATTCAGTGTCAAAAATCAGAAGAGACTAAAGATAAGACATATTTGGAAATGTTTAGAACATGCAAAGAAAAATTTAAATGTGAAATAGGAAGCAAAATAAAAATAAAGGGCATGATATAGTGGCTGTAGCAAAGTTCGCCCTACTGGATGATCCAGTTGCAGCAAAGAAGCTAGAAACCATGAATTAAGCTGGTAGAAATTCCCTGCTCATCAGTGGTTTCTCCCTTCCATTAGAGAGAGAAGGATCTGAATCTTGCTGAAATCCCTGAACAAGAACTGGGAGGACAGGAGGAAGAAGAAAGGCAGGTGCTTTCGACCTGTAAATAGCTCTATAATTTTTGGCACTCCCATTTACCTCTGAACAACAAATTATTTCTGGCAAAACATCAATGTCAACATGAGACACCTCTCCGTTTACTTTGTGCTGTTCTTCCTCAGTTTCTTCTCTCATGTCTTGCTCATATCCTTCTTTTAAACTCTTCTCTCCAGTGACCTTTTGGGAAACTACATTTTCCTGGACCACTGTTTCTACTGTGATTTGCTTTACTGAGCTGGCTTCTGGCACTGCTTCCACACACTGTACTACCTTTGACTCTCGAGCTTCTTTCTCCTCCTCCACCTCTTCTGCGTTTTCCTCCTGCTCTTCCCGGATGGTACCCTCTTTCACCCGGTGGTGGGGTCGGTACTCTCCCACATCTTCTTCCTCACTTTCACTGCTGCTGCTGCTGCTGTTCTCTGAAGACAGGGAGGGGGAGTCTTTGTGTGTCTGGGGTTCCACCTTACGTGTCTCCCCAGGATCACTCCCGGGTGGTACTCTGTCTCTACTGTTCACGCCTTCTGTGATTACTCTCTCTTCTTTCCCAACCTCTGCCTGCTTCTTCACCTCCACTACATTCAGAGTCTCATGTGAACTCTGTACAAAAAAAAAATGGATGAGGAAAAACAAAAAATATATGAATAAACCAAAAAAAAGGGGGGGGATGAATACAAAAATCAACTGACGGCAGGTTCATGTCATGGAGAAAAACAAGGATGATTGTGATGGGCTGACTGAAAGGGAAGAGGGGGAAAATGTGAGGGTGATCAGACATGGCAGGCAATGGAAATTAACATGTAAAAATGGGAGAACCTTAACAGCATCGTTGGCTCCAGAACAAGGCCCTTCTGTTGTGGGAGCACGTTTCTGTGGAACAAAAAGCAACCAAGGACACAAAATCAATAAGGTTTTACCTCAACACCTACCAAAACACATGACACAACAAAGGCAGAACAGAAAGAAACAACACCTTCAGGAACCCTTTGCTCTTATCACAAAGCGTAGTCAATACAAGCACTAAAGCCTAAAAACCTACTCACTGACCACCCCCCCTTCCCCTCAAAAAACAAACAAAACAAAACAAAAACAGGCAAAGCCCCTTTCAATCCTACAAGGACGGCCCATCACCTCTACCATTTTAAGCTGAAGAATCAACACTGAAATCCTACCAAAGCCCACTGATCTGTGAGAGTAAGAGCTTCGTGATTTCTCTAAACTATTCTAGAAACAATCTTGTTGTACTTCTCTGGCCAGAAAAACCCTCACCTCAAGAATCCTGACCTAAATTAATGCAATGTCAAGGAAATGCTATCTTATTTGAAGACTGTTTAAAATAAAAGGGGATTAAATTCCACATCTGGCTATTAATTCATACAGACTTCAGTGGAGACTAGCAAAAAGGAACCCTAGAAAGTTTAGGCTGAACAATAATGTTCTAATGTAGGTATCTACCTAAATTAAACTGAAACAACTTTTAGTGTTTCAGATGTACTCCCCAAAGGCTTTAAATAGTATTTAAGACTAACTACAATTTACTCTAGGTCGGTGATAATCAAGATATCTAATAGGTGCTTAAAAATAAAAACATAATTACTTCACTACTGTCATCACTACAATAAGATGTATATGGCACACTGCTATGATAAACATTTTGGGAATTTTTTTCCCCTAAAGAGTTTTCATTTTTTAAAAAAAATCAATTGCAGGGTAACTTGCTCACTCAGCAGGGTGGAGGGGCCACAGTTTCATTTCTCAAGGCAAAGAAATTTATATTAGGAAGAAGAGATGTTGCTGTGATACAGGTGAAGGGAATACCACCACTGGAAAATGCTTTCCTTTCCCAAGATGGCTCCCAAACACCTGTCAAGGGGGATAGAACCATATCCTACACCCAAATACCCACTCCCCTCCATCTTTCCCCCCCATATATCATAGTTATTAGTACTATTTCTCCTGAACCGAATATATTTCAGTAATAAAAACCTACCCCCCTCCTCCCCACCTATTGAATATTCAAAAATCTTATTCCTTCACATGTGGCTTTAAAGAACAGGAGAGGGAGGAAAAAAAGCAAAATGCACCTCAGGCAACTGTGAGAAGGGCGAGGAAGAAAGCATTTCAGAAGGTACACTATAATTCACAACAGAGCCCTCTGCTGTCCGAATGCTGGTTGATGTGAAGGTGGCTTTCATGCTAGCAGAAAAGCCCTCTTTACTAAATAAAATTGATGTTATCTCCTCTTCTAGGCTCTAGACAGTCAGAAAAGGGAAAGCAAAGAATTAACAATGAAAAGAGGATACAGACAACAGTGACCTATGAAAGGAAAGGTTACACAAGACAGGAAACAAAAAGAACAGTATAAAACAGAAAGAAAGAAGTTCTCATTCTGAGAGGGTTCTCTGGACCTCATCATGTCACTCCCCTGCTTGAGAGCCATGGATGGCTCTCTGTTGCCTGTAGGATAAAGGGCAGTAGGTCCCAATTTGAACACTCCATCAGGCTAGATTCCTTTCTGACCCCAAAATATTCCAAGTTCATTCCCAGTTGATATTCAGTAAATGTTTTGGGTAAATTAATATTGAAAAGAACCACTGAGAACTCAAATGGAAAACACCCCTGAAGAATCAGAAAACATGGCCCAATATGCAATGGAAACTGTTGTAAAAAAAAAACAAGTGCCTTTGAAAAGGAAATGACACATGGATTAATCACACTTCAAATTCTTGGGCTTAAATGCCCAAGGTCATTAAGTGGCTTGCCCCAGATCACAAAGGTAGTTAAGTATCACAAGTATGATGTGAACTCAAGCCTTTAGGCTCCATGGACAATGCTCTTCCCACGTATTATACTGCTGAAACTATTAAATTAGCTTTGCAGGTAGGTAGAAGATGAAAACCCAGCAAGGCGAAGAAGAAGAAAATGAGAAGCACCTTAGAGAAATAATAAAAATCTTACATTTGCCTAGCACTGTATAATTTGTGGCATGCTTTCCTTGCAATAAGTCTCTGAGGTGGATGTTGCAAGTATCACATCCATCCTATTTTTAGAGACAGGCAAAGTGAGGCTCCAAAACGTTTAGACTGTTTTCCCAAAGCTGGTGTCAGAGCCAGAACTAGATCTTAGGTTTCTAATTTACATCTCCAATGCTCTTTCACCTGCATTCTACGAAAGAGTGTTGAGTAAAGTGTATAAAGAGCAGGTGGGTTTCAGAATAAAAACCATGCAACAATGGTGAAAAAAAATTTCTGAGAGGAAATTGTAAAAAAAAAAAAGTTACCAGAAAATTAACTAACCCCTGCCCAATCTAGAAAAAAAAATTCTGTTCCTCCTTTTTCCATTTCACTTGATTATAATATATATCATTAAACATGCCACTGTGAAAGTCTTTAGATCTCATTAAAACTGAGCTAACTCTTTTTGCATATGAAGATTAAGTTAGGTTAAGAGAACATGAGAACTGTGACTTAGACACCTATTATTAGAGGAAACTGAGGTAACCCTTTCCCTTCCCCTCCACCCCTCAGTGAAGTAACTTGCTCTCAAAGTTGCTGATTCAACATTAGCCAGCCTGTCATGTGTTCTGAGTTCTTTCTGATGGAATTACATTGATACCTGCCCTGAGTTACGAATGCATTCTGTGGTAGAAGAACAGGTAACTAGTTTATTGAGGGATACAGAACCCAGGAGAATTAAATCTGGGACCCTGTGCTCATTAGCAGAGTGTTCTAACCAAGTGAGCTAATCAGTCCTAGAGAAAATGCCTTTCTACAAAATACTCCCTTTTTCCAAACCTAAGTTACTTCTTGGCAAAGGGGGAATTGCGTAATTCCACATGTCCCCTCAAATAAACTAAATTCCCTAAGAGCAAGACCATGCTTTTTCTTTTACATCCTCCCACTGGGTGCTTTGTACATGGCAGACACAAAAAGCACACTGTAGACTGACAGTAACTGCCCTCAAACAAGGTAAACATTTGCTCTGCAATACATAAGACACACAAAAAGCACTCAAGAAATAAGGAAAAAGAAATTGGGAGAATTCTAACTTGCCAACTAGCACCGGGCCTTCCAAAAAGTAGAGGCGCCATCACTGGGCTGCACAGGTGTTTGATGGGTGGCCGTAGCATATCGCTACCTTTTTCTAGCTTAATGAAAAGTCAGCCCCGGTGTAGTTCTAATTTTAAATACAATCACATCTTTTAGCACCCACAATTGCCACTCTGACAATTTCAATGCAATGCTTGGAAGTGCTATACAAACACCAGGTACTTGCAACAGAAGTCACGCTTTTTCCAAGGGCCAGTCACTTCACCCAATTCCAGGGATTGCCTTGGATTCCATGTTGGATGATATAGGCACTTATGCATTCAACGCATTCAATGCATAAGTCATGATTAAAAAAAAAAAAACATTCCTGAAGAGTACTGTTATTTAAATGACACGTGCTTCATCCAACAGCTATCAAAATAAATTTTGTAAATGCAAAAATTAAAAAAAAAACACCCTATCCCAAGGTGGTTCCAAAAAAACCCCCAACAGTTCACAGAAGCAGAAAAGGGCCTCCAATAGCTCAGAAAAAGAAAAGGGGAAAAAGCAAGGGTAGATACAAGGATGCAAGGTGAACACCTTGTCTGTCTCCTGAGCTTTTTCTTCAACAATCGGGGGTGCTGGGATCTGCTGCTTCTTCACGGGCAAAATATCCATTTTGAAAAGGTGATCTTTTCTCTATTATTTTAAACATTGAACATAATTAACACATAACACAAATACAAAATACCTCTAACAACATAGACATGAAATAATCTTGTAGGTCAATAGAACAAATATTTCAGGGAGATGAGACAGTGGGCTTCTGAGGAATCTTCTCCCTTCTTAATCTAACACACAAGCGTATCATCACATCATACATTTATCCATTACAAGAGATATCCATCCCGTTGTAAAACAATGAACTCACTTTATCAACAATTTCAGTGTACCTGAAAGGAAGAATGTAACAGTTATAGACAACAATCCTAAGCAGCCACCTATGTGCCTTAAAACTTAATTAATACCTCAAAAAAATTCAGATATAAAAATGGAGCATTATTGTTCAACTGTTTTTATTAATTGATCTGCGAGCTAAATGAATTTTTCTTTTAATCTCTCATAAGCTTCTGATTGCACAGTTCATATACTTTTTGGTTTTTAAGATACAGAAATAACAAAAATGACATTTTAATACCTGGACCATAACTGGTGGCGATTTTGTAAACTGCAATCTGAATCATGACATACTGCAATTAATTCACTAGAGAATTTGCGTTTGGGGAAAAGGAGACTATAGTTACACCTTTTTTTTTTTTAAACAGAAAAAAAAGCCAGCAGAACTAGTAGCATAATAAATCACTGCCTCTCTAAGTGTAATACCTATGCCCATGAAGGTTATTTGTAAATAACACAATGGTTGTCCAGGCCAGGAGCTAGAACAGATGGAGGCCCATTTTTTCATTCCAAAAACATTTATTAAGCCCTTACATTGTGCACCAGTATAGCTGCTGGGCATACAATGAAAAAAATGAAATGATCTCTGCACTCAATGGGCTCTAATTATACTGAAACAAAAGAGAAACAAAATAGAGTATTCTAAAAAAAATTCTTATTTTGGTATTGAGGACAAAAGGCAGAAAATGTTTTAGAAGTCCTCGCTTTCAAGATATATACAAATACAGTTGTATGCATTTCATTATTTCTGTTAGCTTAAGAGATATTCAAATTCCTATGAATTTTTATTTTCTAATTTATTTATTTTATTCTAATTTTCACAAAAATTAGAAATTAAACAAACTTCTTACTGTAACCAAGCTCACACTTAAACCCTCAATCCTCATTGCAATATATTGTCGTAGTCTTTAATTCATGCTTCAATGGTTTTGGATAAACCCTGTTGCAACTAATCAAACTTAAAAAAAAATTGGTCTATCTCTTCTCACATTCATATCTAAGGAATGGGTCTGTGACTAATAAATTGTTAATACATTTTTAGTATTTTAAGAAATTGTTAGAACAACTTAAAAAATTGAAAGGGAAACACTTCATACCTTCCTGATAGAGATTTCAACATAGCAGGCCAGAAGTTTTAACCTTACTGAACGGCCCAAACAAAACACATGCTCACAAATATCTAGTGACATACCCCTTGTGTCTGTTGGGACAAAGGTGTGATACGCCGCTTTTCCCACTCATTGGGGCGTGGTTCAGGTGTGGATTCCATAAAATGGCGCTTGAGTTCACTAATGCTAGCCTGATGTTTCAGTATGTCGTCCTGGGTCTTATCCAGGTCCTAGCAATGTGCAATGTAAAAAAAAAAGAAAAAAGAAAAAAAATCCAAAGGGACAAAAACAAAAGGCCCAGTAGGAAAAATAAAAACAAAAACACAACAAAGCAAATTTATATAATTGAAAAAATAAAAACAAGAAAAATGCCAAGTCTCAAAAGCCATCTCTTGCTGTTCATAAATCACCATTTGTCAAAATTTGAAAAAGCAGCTAATTTTCTTGTCCCCATTCATATTTAAGATGGTTCTAATTTTCCTTTTTTTCTCCCCATCTTTGCATTCTAAGAAACTATACTGACATCTGGATTACTTATGCTAAAAAGTATGAGTATCTCGAAAGAGCTAACTGAATTGGAATGAATCACGATTCCCCTTTCTTCCTTCCTCTTTCCAACTGTAATAATTTGCTTTTGGCTAATTTTCAAAATTAATTTGAATTTCCCAATCATACAGTGGGAGGTTAGGTAGAGAAGTGTACTTGGCTTGAGGGATGGTGCCAAGTTTAAAAAAAAAAAGACAATAAAAAATAAATATAACCAAGAGTTGACTGCATTTAGGCAGTCTGCAAATTCCAAAGACTGCTTCTGATACCTTAAGGAACAAAAACTATGAAGGTAGCTGCTGCCAGGGGATATTGTTATCCCTCTCTTAGGGATCTGCCTAAAAGCAAACATACCCTGGTTAAAAAGTATACAAGCAGCATTGTGTCATAATCACACGTTACCAAATGTGACTTATACACAGGCAAGGGAGAAGCAAAACTGAGCTACTCCAGTTTGACAGCTGCTCATTCTGAGAACAGCAAATCCTACTTATCGGAGTAAATAGTACCTATTGAGCAAAATGCTTTTAGGTTAGCTTTAAGAGTGGTTCTTAAATTTCAAAATTCAAGGAGCAAAGTGTATTCTTTCATGTCTTTAGTCCCTCTCCCTAATACAGAGGGGCAAACCATCATGCATCTCCCAAAATTAGCTGTTCCACATTCATGCACAAGCACAGTAGCTGTTTCAGGGACTTATATCACTATTTTTAAAAAATAGAAAACTAAAAACAAAAACTAACACCTTTGCATGGCATGGAAAAAGTACTGTGGCTTGAGATCAGGCACATTTCTTGGATTTCTTCAAAGCAATGTTATGCATTACACTTCGCAGGATTTTAGTAAGTTATGCAAAAATACATCTCTAGCAATTATCAAAGCTGCCAAAAAGCAACCAAAAGGATTAGTCAGATTACTTCAATTTGCAAACCTCTTGTATACATATCACATACTCTGCCTTAAATATGAAGGGAAAAAAAATCTAAGTTCTGCTGTGACACAGGGAATTCAACAGGGGGCCCTGCAAGATGAGTAAGTTCTTTGTTTTTTAATCAATAAAATCAGTTATCATGACTTCAAAGAAAACATCTGAAGAAATATTTATGTTCCCAATTCCAATTTCTATACAAAAGGTGTGGAAAAAGGTCAATCAGTTAAATGGTAAAGTGATAAATTTTCCAATATCTTAGCATACTGATGGGAACAGAGAGTAAAAAGAAGATACTTTAAAATCTATATCCAGATATCTGTAGAGAGAGAAGTAGGTTTATTTACAAACCCACATCCTATTTTAAAAGGCTCATGGATCAACATTTCACTTGTTGATATTTTTTCCCAGTTGCCACTTCAAGAACTTCCAAAAGATACATTCTTAGAAGCTATAAGAGAACCAGATTGACACCATGCACTCCCCAGTTGCACTTCCCCATGCATTTCATGCACTGTGCTCATAAAGGATTGCCAGCCAGCCTGCAGTGACCTCCCATCCTTAGCAGCCTGGCAGCCATGAAAACAGAATGGGTTTCTTAGATTATACAAACCTCCAACATTAAATTGCTATGTCTGACATAAATATTTTCCCCTTCTACTCTCAAGGAATTCTGTGAAATTAAATCACACACAGAGGGGGGGGAAAGGCAAATATAAACATAAATGTATCAACAAGCACCAGAAATGAGCCAGAGTTTGATAATCTGAGACTTAAAAAACAAATGAGAGTGAAAACCAAAGCCAACACTCAAACCAAACTCGCAAATAAACTCTGCAAGCGCCTCCCAAACAGTAACAATGGCAAGCAGCGACCATCAGAGGTTTCATTTTAGAAAGGGGGAAAATCAAAAAGCATCCACCACCTCCAGCTGTGTTTCCTCTTCTTCAGTCCCCACCTAAAAAGGGCACATAGCAAATGACCAGGAAAAAGTGAAGCATTAGTTCGACTTCTAAAATCAATACAACTGAGTTCTGTTGAAGGTTAAAATACCCAGTTCTAACTTTACCAACCTGGATCATTTCAGTCTCAGAAGCAGCTGTAAACGTTAAGCCACTCTGGTCTTCCTTCACCTAGGGTGGTTGTACAAATGGTTGAAGTAATCTTTTGCAAGGATGAAATGGTCAAGGTGGAAGCTCCATTGTCTTGCTCGCTCTCTTTCAGCCCTCAAATTGTGTTTGGCTTTTCTGAATGCCCTTACCATAGGTGAGTGAAACTAGACAGAGTGCAAACCAGCACTGTTCACTGAACACTAGAACTGAACATTTTAATGCATGATGAAAAAGTGAGGCCCAAATTAGTTAGGTGACTTGTCCAAGGTCACACAGGTGCTAAGTGGCAGAATCTGGATTCAAACTTGGGTCTTCTGACTCCAAATCCAGCTCTCTGTCCACTGCACCATAATCCTCCCTCAATCAGCTCTAATTTCAAAAGTCCAAATCAGTTAGGTAGTTAAAAGAGGGAATACATAACTTGAAATTAAATTAGGATTTATCCTTTTTCCTAGAGATAAATGTTATATGTGTGTTGTCAAATATTTGAGAATGCTATATTTGAAAAAAGAAACAATATTTTGTACTTGCTTATTATTTTATCTTTTCAAAAAGCTTCCAATTTTAAATAAAATGTTAGGCTATAGTTACCTTTATAAAGGACGAATAACATCACAAAAGAAAAATTGTTCACTTCAGAGGAAATAATCTTAAATCTTAATAATGTCACACATTAGGAAAATCTGAAAAATTCACTAGCTTCCCGAGAGAATGCACTTGGAAATCTTGAAATCCATGCAAACAAATGAAAAAAAAAATGAAAAGAGGAATAGAAGTGAAGTTCACTAGTTTTGTCATTAATGGAACAATATATTTTCTTGCTCCATTCTCTAAGAATGCAAACATTTGCTTCATTATTATAAAATTCAGCATTTTTCAAAGGCTTACTGTGTGCAGAGCACAAAGTAAAATCTAAGAGGCCTGAGTTTTAAAAAGTTTAAACTACATGGCATTCAGTTGCTAAACTATGAATCAAAATGTACTAAAGTATCTCAGATTATTAAAAAAAAACTCAGCTTATCTGGCTAATATCAAATATAAAGACCATCCTGAATTTAGAAAGCGCCATCTTCTGAGTTCAAGAATGTGGTCATAACACTCCCAAAAGGTAAGCAGAAGGTATTGTCTTTTCATATGTGTAAAAACTGAGGCCCGACAACCCCCCACCCCCACCAAAAAAAAGTCAGGTTTTAAGATCTATTCCCTTCTAGTTCTAAACACTTAACCACTAACATTTCTGTATTATTCATTCAGCTGACTTCCAACAGTACCATTTTCTTCACAGTACGCAAGACTGATTTCCAAAATTATAGTATGCTGTACACATTTACATTTTAAGTCTATAATAAATGTTTCCAGTTTTTCATAGCCATTAAACACTATGTGCTTATAGTAAACAATGGAATGAAGGCACTAAATTAACTAATAGCACTTATCAAAAGGAAGCACGGTATTTTCTGACTCTATGGAATAGTGGTTAGCTAATTTAGAGACAATTTTAAAAAATTATCCGTCGACCAACAATTAGGTAATAAAAACTGGCAGATTCCCAGTACTAGGAAAGAATACCAGAATGTTCCACCCTATCTAAAAATACAATAAACTTGTAAAAAAAATTCCTATGCTCCTAAGGAAATAATAACAACATAACATTTTCCGCTCTTGGACTACCCAGCACTGAAATTTTAAGCTTCATGGATGATTTATGTAAAAACTTATCTGAAATCCACCACAGTCCAATAATACAAGGACTAGGAAGTTTCAAGATTATGGCTGCAATTACATCTTGCAGATTAAAGAGAAATCAATACTGAACTATAAATTTCATACTTTTTAAAAGGCTCAGGAAGGACAGGAGGAAGGGGAGGAGGAGTGGAGGCAATACTATAGTTACAATTACTCTTAAAAGTCAAAAAGGCTAACAACATCCAACAATAGTAGAAAGAAACAATCCAGGTGTGTTTAATACCTGCTACTGGGGGAGAACGAGGCTGGTGGATTTCTTGAGCACAAGAGTTCTGGGTTAAAAGTCTAGCAGGTGTTCACAACAAATCTAGCACTTATGTGGGTGAACTCCAGAGAGGTGTTCAGGGTGGGAAAACCTTAAGCAAACCACACCAGATCAGAAATGGAGGCGATCAAACTTCCATGACACTCAGCAGTGGGATCAAGCCCACAAGTGGCCAATATAGGTTTAGATTAAATAAGATAGGGAGACCAAGTCTCAAAAACGCAAGGAAGGTAGAGGTTGTGGGGGAGGGGAGAATGAAGCTAAGAAATTCTACAACACAAATATCAATCTATACAGCAGCTCTTTCATATAAACCAAGTTTCCTTTTAAAAAACCTAGTATTCATTGCTTGTGTCTATGTAAGCGGAGGAAGGAATAACACTTCAGGACCAACACAGCCAATACAGATCATTCAAGCAATGGCAGGGTTTTTTGTTGTTGCTGTTTTTTAATTACCAGGATTGGGTATGGGTTTATTTCCAAATTTACTAGCAAATCACTTAGTATTTTACTCTGCATAGGTTGAGTAGCTATGGCTATAGGCTAGTAGTCAACATATCTCTTACATTTACTTCTCATGCACATTATATTTACTTGTGAAAATGAATGAAGCTCTACTTTCCTGAAGGTTAGTTGTGACAGAGTTTTTAAGCAAGTTTATATTCGATGTCAGGAAGCATAACAAGATTCAGTGGGTTTTCATCAAGCTGATGAATTTCAGTCTATGTAGAAGCAATTAAACAATAGGGCTACACACCTCCTCTTCCTCTGCTTTGTCATGCAGGTCATTGTCATAAGAGGTGTTTAATGAAGTTGTCTTAGGCTCCAGGTAGCAGAGAGATAGAGCGAGAGGAAGGGAAAAGGTGAGTGAGAAAGGAACGGACTGGAAAGCAGAAAGTAGCAGCCCAAAGATGAGGAGAAAAGAAGGAATAAATGAAGGCGATGTAATAGGAACATAATGCTGTAGGTCAGCAGGGAGGAAGGAGACGCAAACCTTGGGGAGGCTGGGGAAAGTGAGGTACCCATCTTCATCAAGCAGTGAAGGGAAGTTAGTGGGAAAGCATTTGCAGAAATTGAATGAAAAGTAACCAAACTCAGTATCTTGGTAGTCAGCACCTTTCAGAGTTTTTCCATGGATTGGAGAAGGACAGCTGTGCTTAGCTGGGGACAGCGGAATATCCAAGATAGAATCAAGGGGGGATACTTCAGTATCACCATGCCCCGAGGTTTCACTTAGAGAACTGAATTCCAAGCTCTCCAGTGTGGTTTGATCCACCTCCCCAAAGAGGTCTTCCTCTGAAATGTCAGAAAGCACTTCCATTTCAGGGATTGGCAATAGGTTTGCAGATCGAGATGAAACACAGTGGATGGGTGGTGATGGTGGGTATATGGAAATGGACTATTTATGGTTAAATAAAATAAAATGTATGTTTGTAGGAAAAAAGAAATACATGGGGGGTGGGGGTGAGAGAGGAGAGAAAAAAGAAATGGATAGTTAGTGAAAACTTTTACCTAGCAGAATGGAGAGTATTCCCAATAGTTAAGTTAAATCAATGACCCATTTTTGGTTGTTTTTTAAAAGACTAACTACACTATTTTTATTACATAAAAATATTAGATGACTAATAATTTAAATATTATTTTAGAAATGGCAACAAGAAGTTTTTCTGACTGTGAATTAGTTACTGAGTCTTATTGTAATTACTTTCAACAGATAGGTATTAATAGAGATTCAAAGTATTAGCAGAAAAGCCAGGGTTCAGAGTACCACTGGAAGGACAAGTAGGTGGGACTGTCAAACCCAAAAAGTTCCTAAAAATCTAGTCACCCCCCCAAAAAAAAGTAGAATTCAATTCAAATTGATCCATCCCTACCAAAAAAAAAAAAAAAGACTGACCACTTCAGAGACCTGATGATGAACCTCCCTGATTGACTGTTTTGGATTAACTCTGAAAAGCAGTACTACTGACTTCCTAATAGCCCAAAGTGGCATCCCTGTTTGACATAGTTTATGATATTTACAAACCATGACCATCACAAATTCTCTGAAACTATAATGTGAGAAATGCATTTTTTTTCACTAGGAAAGCACAGTTAAGCAATGTATCCTGACATTTTAGTTTCAGTAAATTACTACTCTTAGGTCTCTTCAGTCCACTAAACTCCCATCCTTAAAATACAGGTTCAGTTTTGGAAATTATACCTTAATGTTTTCAGTTTGGAGAATATAACTAGTAAATTTAAGGGCTAAGTGAAAATTCCCCTCTGTCATGATTAAAGCAAACTAATTAATAAACTTTGTACAGATGTTTCTCAGAGGGCACTCAAAAGCATATATACCAAATGATACATGAGACAAAGCTCAACAATGTATCATATTTGCAGCCTTTAATTCATGAGGGAAAAATGAAAAAAGACACATGACCATTAGCCTCATGAAATCCTGAAATCTACCCAACAAACATTCAATGCAGATGGAAAACCCATCACAGTGTTTGTCACTAGAGGACTCATGTTACAAAGTAAGTACATGAAGATAAATCAATAAAACTAATAGCTTGCAGGAATCTACAAAATATGTTGCTACCTGGACAGAGTCTAGAATCAAAATGGACCCCCAAATCTATAATCTTCTGGCATATTTAGTAATGAAATCTCTCTCGGAGAAAATGATGTGGTAAACTCAAAATGCTTTGATTTCTAATACATCAGATATCACAGATCTGTCTCCAACACAGAAAGTATTTTAAGAACTGTATTATTTTAGTTGATCGTACCTTTCCTTCAGTAGTAAACTGTAACTGTGGAGTTTTGGTTGGGCTTCTGACCTCCCTTTTGCCATCTCCATCTTGAAACATGCCTTGGCCGGCAACTCCAGGGCCATAAACAGAAACATCACCAGCAGGGCCAGAGAAATCCTTTTGGTCCATGACACCAATAGGTGCTAGGCAAGAAGGACATGGAGTTATATTTGATATCTTGTATGTTCAAAATGCCATAGGCTGGACTTTAGAAAGCTGTAATACCTGTCTGCATGTACAACCAACTGAAAGGAAGAAAACACACACACACACACACACAACACACACATGCATGCATGCACATGTACATGGAATACACTCTCTTTTCATTTCTTGGTTTCCCTGAAGTCCAGACAAAAATCCCACCTCCTACAAGGATGCCCTTTCCAACCCTTCTTAATTCTAATGCATTCCTCCTGTAAATTATTTCCTATTTATCCTATATATGTAGTGTGTTTGTACACATTTATTTGACTCTTGTCTTTCCTATTAAATTGAGAGTTTCTTGAGGCCAGGGGACTATCTTTTGCCTCTGTATATATCCTCAGCAATTAATACCGTGGCTGGTACCCTGTAGGCTCCTGATTCACACAGACACCACCCTAGATCGAGCCTTCATTTTCCAGCCTCAGTTATCACATTATCTCCTACCTGGTCTCCCTGACCAGGTAGGTCTTTTCCTTCTCCAACCCATCCTCCACAAAGTTCTTAAGGTGATTTTTCTTTTTTTAATTTTTTTTTGGGGGGGGCTAGGCAATGGAGTTAAGTGACTTGCCCAGGGTCACACAGCTAGTAAGTGTTATGTGTCTGAGGCCGGATTTGAACTCAGGGTGCTCTATCCACTGCACCACCTAGCTGCATCATTAAGGTGATATTTCCAAAGCACAGGTAGAAACATGTGATTTGTTTGCTCAGGAAGGTCCCTCAGCTCTCAGCTACCTCGAGGATAAAATACAAACTCCCACAAGGGGCATTCAAAGCCCTTCATGACATGGCTCTCACCAATCTTTCTTCTTTATACACTCTACATTCCAGCCAAACTGGCCTGTTTGCTGTTCCCACCATATACAACATTCCACCTTCCATCTTCATGTCATGGCACAATCTGTTCCTATACCTGGAATGCTCTCCCTTCCTCACCTCAGAGAATTCCTACTTCCTTCTAGGCTTGGGTCAAGGGTCACCTCCTACAGGAGGAGTCATTTTATATGTTTATTTCCTACCACGTACATGTTGTCCCTGCCCTCCGGCCTCAATAAAAAACAAACTTCTACAAGTCAGGGATTATTTCACTTATGTCATTGTATGTACCTGATAAATATTTAAATGCTTAATTCCTATTTAATCACTCAACTTCTACTCCACCCAGTCTCACGCAGCCAAAATACATGGATTTTACTGTAGACAAAGCATTAAAACATATGTTGAGCTTAAAATACACTATACTTATCATCATCAGTCACTCAAAAAGATCTTGGAGGCCCAATTTGTTTTATTATAGCACTAGCCAATAGGAGGAGCTCTAAGACTACCTGAGTTTATAAGACAAGGGAAAAAGATCAGAATATAATTTGTAGGTAATGCTTTAAACAGAACTGGGACAGAGACTCTGAAAACATTAATACCCATTAAAAAAAATGTTCTGGAACTCACCTGACAAACCAAAAACTATTAATACCAAAGCTGGTCTATGGTCATTTAATTACTCAAACACTTCGTTTCTGTGGGTCACATCCTTAAGTATTTGCCCTTCATATGGCAAAAGATGATTCAGAAAATTAGCAGTAACCCCCAGAAAAAGACATTCTCATCTTAGCCTTGAAAAATTCAATATCAAAACTCAATAAATACTTAATGAATTGGCTATGATTAATTTAATTGTAGCAATTTCTTTGTGGATATTTTAATTTTTTTTTCCTCTGTTATCTTTCAACAATAAGGGTCAATTAGCCAAGAGAAGGGGTTTATAGAATCTGGGTTGAAAGGGACCACAGAAATCATATAATACAACAAATACCTTAATAAGAATCCTCTCTAGAACTTAACTTGATTTGCTTTCCCCTGTAGCAGGGCAGCTAGGTGGTGCAGTGGATACAGTGCTGGGCCTGGGGTGAGGAAGACTCATCTTCCTGAATTCAAATCTGGCTTCAGACACTACCTGTGTGACCCTGGACAAGTCACTTAACTCTATTTGCCTCTGTTTCCTCATCTGTAAAATGAGATGAAGAAGGAAATGGCAAACCACTCCAGCATCTCTGCCAAGAAAACCCCAAATGGAATCACAGAGAGTTAGACACAACCAAAATGAATGAAGAACATAGTAGGGGAGGGGGGAAGGAAGGGCTCCCACTGTTACCTCCAGAGGGATTCTGTTCCCCTTTAGGGGAGCTTTAATTGTTAGGAAACTTTCATTCAAATCAAATCTAAATTTGCCTCTTTGCAGCTTCAATCTATTACTTCCAATAGAGATCATCCTTCAAGTTCATAACATCTATACAGACACTGAGCTAGCAAAGAAGACATGATTCACACTAGAAAGACATGTTAAAATAGGTCATGGACTTGATGCAACTATCAGTTCATGCATTTACTACGTTCTTTTTCCTTACGGGCACTGTGTTGGGTGACTTTTTTTTTGTTGATTTTTTTTTCCCTTCGAACTAGTTATATATTATTTTTTTCTCTCTTTTCCATTTCCTCTCTTTTTTCTCACTCTGCCCTTTGGAGTCGAGGAGAAAAAGTCTACCAGATAATAGCCCTTCAAACACTTGAAAATAGCTATCATGTCTCCCTTAAGTCACCTCTTCTCCAGGATAAGTACCTCTAGTTCCTTAAGTGATCTTTATATGACATGAACCCCAGGCTGTTTGTCGTCACATGGACACTTGCTAATTTTACCACTGCCCTATTCTGTTCCTACTGAATTTTCTTTTCTCACTGGATCACATGAGGCCTTCTAGGTCCTTGGATAGGGCCTTTTGACTGAGCTCAAGTTTTACAGAACAAATCCTTTTATTAAGGGGATTTGTTCTGTGAAGTGTGGATTCAAAGGGCTGCACTTGAGGACCTAGAGGGCTACATGTGGCCTCAAGGTTACAGATTTCCCCACCCCTGGTTTAACCACCTCATTCTACAGTTAAGGAAACTGAAGCTTAAAAAGTTAAATCATTTGCCCAGTGTTATATGGTTTATTGTGATAGGCAGAACTTAACACTCCAAATGATCCTTAAATGATATTCACAGAGATGGGGATAGGCCTTGATAGGGACTCTTCCCGTGATTACAACGGTACAGGGAACTCCCAGACAAGGAAACTCTTCCTCCAGTACAAGTTGGCACCTTTTCCCTGCAACTTATGGTATTCTTTAAGCAAATCAGGATCCTAGGCTCCATATTTTCTAGGCCCCCAGCCTTACAATTGAGCTGCTAGATCACAAAGTAGGTGGCTAGTGTGTGTGGGGGGAGAGACAGGGGAGAGAGAAAGAGAGAGAGAGAGGGAGGGAGAGAGAGCGAATATGAATGAGAAAATGAGAGACTTGATGCTGATCAGAGAACTACAAGTCATTCCATACCCAAAACCTACCCCCCCTACTCAAATCATCACTATGGCAAAGATGGGGATGAGGAGGTGGGAACTCCATCTCTAACTCTCAACTTAGGCTCATAACTTGAGTTTCAATTTTTCCTTTGAGGATGCCCTTGAGTACTCAATTTTAATTTAATCTAACCTGTATAAAATGAGTTGGGGAATGGGCAATGCAATATATTATAAATGTTATTTATCTAACAGGAAATATTTTAAATCTTCTTTTTGTCCTCATTTAAAAAAGCAAAGTTTATATTTTTAATTCTGTTTTCCTTCTTCATTTACAAGGTTCCAGGTTCTAATTTGCTAGATTCTAAGAAGTTCTTCAGTTGGTTTACAAGAGCATTTGGAAACACCCAGGGAGTGAGCCAAATTTTCTTTGGTCTCAGCTCATTTAAGATCAAGTTCTTCCCCTTCCTGTCACAATATTTTACAACTTTATTACAAACATCTGTCATCATTTAATATTTGAAGTTAAATGGCAGAATACAACACCTTCATCAAAGTTTCCTTGGGTACATAGAAATAGTAGAACTTTGATTAAAAATGCTCTAGGAATAGAGTTCATGTTAAGTCAAGCTGGCCTAGTGGCAAACGAGTCCAATAAAGTCTCATCTAGTAAAGACTCTGGTTTCCCCTCTGCTGAGAAGGATGCTACCATTTCAGAACTTAGTGCAAGATGAGAGACTCCCTCTTCTTTATTGACCTAGGAGCTAAGGTTGTATTGCTTCAGGCTAGGCACTGGCAGGTACCAGTTCTCAGAGAGGCAGAAAACCCCTTCACATTGGGACAAGAAATCAGAAAAAAGTCCTTAAGAAATGACAGCATTCCACAACTGGGACAAGGAACAGGGAAATGTTACTCCAAATAATGTGGAGTGAAAAGCAGGATGCTCCACAGGGAGGGAATCAGAGATGCTTCTAAAATAAAAACAAAAAGCCAGATGCCATGTCAATTATAGCACATACCGATAAATGTGGTGGTGAGGAGTGCTTGGTATTGATAGCCCTACAATTCAAATTTGTTTTGGAGAAGGAAAAGAAAGGTAACCTTACCCCCAAATTGCTCACTATATGTCCAGTCATACAACCACATGAAAAGCCTTCTATTTTATTTTCCACAATAGCCTTTTTGAGAACACACCCTATCTTATGACTTATAGCATCCAAGACAAAGAGCAAAAAAGAATGAACCACTGTGTAATGTTTGGTGCTTCTATCTGCAAACTCATTGTTTTCAGATACACATCTACTGTGGCCCTCTGTGCTTACTGGCCACACAAGATGGTGGGCTTCCCTATGAGGAGCTGAGAGAGGCCTCATATGTTTCAAGAAGATTAGCCTGATATATTGCCCATCATGACAGTATAAAAAGACCACTGGTGAGGAGGCAGAATATGTAAAATTCTAATCCAAGCTCCACCACTTATTAGTTATGGGACCTTGGACAAGTTGATTAATTTACTTAGTTTCAGTTTTTTTCCTCTATCAAACAGAAATGAGGAGCATTATCTGCCCAGATTATCTTAGAAGTTCACATGGAGATCAACTAAGATATGGCAGGTGGAAGTTCTTAGTAAGAGATTAATTATCATCACAAGATTAGCTGGTGGGTGGCAATGGGAGAGAGTTTAAAATGAGACTTGAAGAAAGACAAGATTTGGGGCAGCTAGGTGGCACAGTGGATAGAGCACTGGCCCTGAAGTCGGGAGGACCTGAGTTCACATCCGGCCTCAGACCTGACACTTACTAGCTGTGTGACTCTGGGCAAGTCACTTAACCCCAACTGCCTAAAAACAAAAACACAAACAAAAAAAGACAAGATTCCTGGGTAAATAGCATTTCAAGTCAGAACACCAAAGAACAACAATTTCCTATGTTGCAGGCCTTCTGTGTGGCAAAGGGCAAACATCTGCAATACAATAACTTTTGATATTTGAATGTCCCAACTGATAAACTAGAAGATGGTTTAAACAACTTCTCTAGTGATAAATGTAAAAACATGATGAAAAATGAATGTATTTGTGAATGCAATAACTTATTTTAGACTATCTTTTTGCAGTTTTTGGTTTCATAAGGAAAAAATGTGGCAGATTCTCTAATAATATCTGTGCCAGAGAATTTAGGAACAGTGCATTACTGAAAATAATTGATGGGCTGGGACTACTTCATTTGACTTTGTGTCCCCTATCATTTAGCCAAGTGCCTGGCACATAGTAAGTGCTTAAAAATGCTTGCTAATATATTGGGACAACTGAGTACCTAACAAATATCCTTATGTATCATCTGTTTTACATACTGGGCCAATAAAATGTGGTAGAACAGTCCCTTCATGTTGAGAAAGCTTTTTAAGAATGCTGGATTCAAGTTAGGTTCAAATCCCATTTCAGACATTTACTTACTGTGTGGCCTTAGGCAAATTACTTAAACTCTCAGAGTTTCAGTTTATAAGAGAATAATAATACTTGCACTGTCTCATTAGGGTGTTGTGGGAAAAGCTCTTAGCAAACATCAAAGCATTAGAGAAATGCGAATAATATGAACGACTGGATTTATATTTTGCAAAGGTTATCAAAAAGGTGCTTTCACAAAACAATAAATTTATAGTGATTTAGTTTCTAGTAATCCAATTGGCTTCTGGTGAGAACCAGCAACCAACTATTTTTTTTTAAAATGAGACTGGCAATTTAAAATCCTCCTTTTGTCTCCTTCATGTATTGGAAAGTATATTTAGAAGTTGTATTTCTTTGGGTAAAAAACTATCTGCGTTTATCATATCTTACTCATGCACAGGCAGGGAAAGGCAATACTGAGCTATTTCTACATGAGAGACACAAAGGAAAAGAGAAGAAAAAAGGAAACAAAAAAAGGGAAAAGAAAATGAAGGAAAAAAAGAGAAACAGAAAGGAGGTAAGGGGAAGCCACGAGGAGGAATGAATGAACAAAAAACATTAAGTGTTTGCTATGTGCCAGGCACTCAGTGACAGGGATACAAACAAGAAAAAGAGAGTTAGCCTTGCCTTTGAGAAGCTCCGTTTCTAATACAGGGAGATATCACACCCGAGGGGTGGGGGACAAGAAAGAATATTCCAGTTTGCAAAGTCACCACAGGAATGGCGAGCAGAGCCATAGGGGAACAGAATGATAGGGTCTATCCAAGAGCAATGGCAGTCTTAATTTGATCATGGATCTTAAGAGAGGAGAAAGAACTACAACTGCACATTAAAGTATATGTATTTTTTTTTACTAGAAATGTAAGGACAATAATTATATTACCTATGTGTTTTTTTGATCCATCAACATTTTATGCAATTTCACTCCATGTTAACAAAAATACTGAATAAGCTATATATAGTGCAATTTTGTTTTTGATTTTACATGCTGCATATGCTGAACATGCCATGAACATGTCAATTCCTTTAAAATTATATTATCAGAAAAATGGCATATATATGTATGTATATATATATGCCATTTTTCTGATAATATAATTTAAAAGGAATTGACATGTTATATATATATGCCTGGAATTAAAATTTTAGCACTATTCACATATTTATTGAAGTCTCATAGAAACAAAAATGTTTTGCAGCCAAAATAGCTACAGTAAATTCTAGGTTACAGAGGCTCCTGTCAACTAGAAATAGTTATTAGCAGTCATTTTTACACATTTGTATCACAAAAAGATTTAGTGATCATTAGCAATTATTCCCCCAAGGAAGAAAAGATGATGAAATATCATCAAAATGTAAGAAATACTGAATTATATGTGAACATCTGAGCCATCAATGTATTTCAGTTTTTTAATTCCTTAAAACTTGGCCACTTACAAATGATGTACCTGATAAAACCAACCATGTTATCTGAATAATAGAGCTTAACCTATACTTGTCAGAAGAGTTCTTAACCTAGGATCTGTGAAAACTTAAAAAACTGTATTTCAGTGTAATTGGTTTTGTTGGTAATCTTATGTATCTCATTTTATGCATTTAAAAACATTTTTTCAGGAATAGGGCACATAGATTTGACCAGATTGCCAAAGGGGTCATGAGAGAAAAAAGGAAAGGAATTCCTTCTCTATAATTACTTATTTTCTTACCTCCATCAAGACTTCTTGAGACTCGTTTGCTGGAGGTGCGCTCAAAATATGGAGCTGGTCTGTCTATGAGGGTGCTTGCCTGTCGGGTCTGTGCTTGAGTACGGCCACTATATCGGAACTTAGACCCCAAAGTGAGGAACTTAGCCTTTGGTGGCTGTTCTGGTGACACAAGCCTATATGGGACAAAAGTAGAACAAAATCAGAATTCACAGCTATAGTTCAGAAGAAAACTTCATAATTTTTAAAGGCTTAATTCTCTACTAAGCATCTAGCTTTTCTAATAGAGTACAGTTACTCAATTTTGAAAATAGAAGAGTCCCAGGGGTGGGGAACCTGCAGCCCTGAGGCCACATGTGGCCCTCTAGGTCCTCAAGTGTGGCCTTTTGATTGAATCCAAACTTCACAGAACAAATCCTCCTAATAAAAGGATTTGTTCTGTAAAATGTGGACTCAGTCAAAAGGCTATACCCAAGGACCTAGAAGGCCACACATACCTTAAGGCCACAGGTTTCCCACCCCCAGAAAAGACAATTACTCACAAATAATATCATGTGCTCTAATGCAGGCTTGTAAATAAAAACCAAACATTCCCAGTTCTCCCATATTATTTCCCTCGTAAATAAATAAAATAAGAAGGGAAGATTTAAAAAAACCCTTTATTAAAAGCCTACTATGTGCCAGGTATTAAGCTAAGTATTTCACAAATATTATTTCATTTGATCCCAACAACCTTGTGAACTGTTACCATCATTTTACAGTTGAGGGAACTAAGGCAGACTACTTTGGTCTTTGCCCAGGGTCACATAAGATAGTGTCTGAGGCCACACTTCAACCCATCTTCCTGATTCCAGGACCAGCACTGTCCATTATGCTATCTATCTGCTTCTAACAAAATGAATAAAAATCAATATTCTTTCCTATGCCTTTGAACTGTGAAAAATATCTAAGGCTGTATGTCAAGGACATAGTCACAGTGGCCTTATGTTTATGATTCTATATTCTACAGATAATCCTAATGATTGAATCTTTGCTCTTAGCTATAAAATTAACAAGTAATTTGTTTTTAGTTTTTATTCATGAAGTTTAGAACTATTTCTACTACAAAAAGACCAGCCAATTTATTGGATCTACTCCACTGAATAATTCTTTCCCATGGAAAAAAAAGAACAGAATGAAAGTAGACCAGATGACTAACATGTCTGCTTGCCAGAATGATTCCATCACTTAAGTCCTGGGTTCATGAAATGAATGATAAAGTCAACAATGCAGAATATGAAACACTGTTATAAACTGATGCAATTTTAAATGGGAAAAAAACCCCACAAAACTTTTAGGCTACTGGTAGATGAGAATTCTGTAACCTAGCCAATCTATACCAGGAATGCTACAATATGAATTCAAATTCAATATCTTTCACTGTAATGACATGGTATAGTAGGCAGACTGAAGAACCTAGACTTAGGAAGATATGGGCTCAAATCCTGCCTCTGACACTAGCAGTGTGACCTTGGGGTATACTTCTCAAACATGAAAGCACTATTAAATACCAGCCGCTACAATCTGGTCAAGAACAAGCCAAAGGGATTAACTATGAAATTCAAAATTCGCCTGAAAGCAGTTTTTGAATTTCCCAATCAACTAATGGGTTTTAGCCAACCATTTTATAGGATGTGAGGAATGCAGCAAGCCATTTTCCTTCATCTGTCAACGATCATTAACATGATAGCAGGTAGCCTTTACAGTTATAAAATAACATGCTTACATTATCTCATTTGATCTTTACAACAATCTATGTGCAGGTGTTTTCATTTCCATTTTACAGATGAGAAAACTGATGCTCAGAAAAACAAAATGATTTGCCCAAGGCCATCCTACCTCTCAGAAGTAGTCTATATGGTACAATCCTACACAGCTCTACTAGGATTCTAGCCCCATTTCTGCTTTAATTTTAGAACTGTTACAGTGCCTTTTCATCAATGATGAGAAAGTGCCTCCAGGCAGTAAGACACTGAGCACGCCAATGTGCCAGGCAACCTCTGGCAGCCTCCCACACACTTAGTGTTCTCATCCTATGCAATGCCAAAAAGTCTCTAGAATAGCAAAACATCAAAATCGAGCCAGTTATTTACACAAACTGAATTACGTTTTTGAATGTTTGACCCCAAATTTCCTAACCTAGTTTTGAGTGACTGCTCCTGTATCAGGCCTCTGATTTTCTAATAACCTCTAATTTTCTAATAATAACAATAACGCCATCTTTTATGCAGCATTTTAAGGTATACTAAGCACAGAACACGTTACCTTGTTTACTCCCACTCAAGGAGAAGAAGCGGTATGGATGAGTATATGAAATCGGATGATGCCCGTGACAATGGAGACCTGACTGGAGACTTCAGGTAATCAAAAGACTAATGCTATGGGAGTTGTCCCAGGGGAAAGTAAGCAAACTATCTGGCAGCTTTTCATTCTGAATGATTCTCGTTATACTAGATAAGGTCAGCTGTTTCTTCATATCAGTAAGCAAAAATTTATATTAACTAACTTTTAATGGACTCAGGCAACATAAAGCAGGCCACACTTATCTTCACTCATGAAGTATTTTTGGTAATAACATTTATACTATGTTACAGGGTTATTTTAAGGAAAAGTGGTTTGTCAACAATATAACTAATTCATGAGTGTGTTTAATTTTAATAAGAGGAACAATTATCTATAAAAACACACCTCAAAGGAACAGCATACAAATTCGTGATCCAAAAAGAAATCTCTAAAAATGTTCAATGGGACCAAAAAAAATGAACTAGACATATTAGTTACATTAAATTTACTGAAATCTTAATGCAAAAAAGATATATCATATGAAAATATGTATATCCTATATATTTTAAAGACTGAATTTGTATCCTCCTCTTGAAGAACTCATGTTTTAAGGGGGAAAAACTGAGGAAAAGTAATTTTTAAAATTTTTCTCTCACATCGATAATTAGTTCCTTGGGGGAAGAAGGGGTCTTGCTTTTTTTCTCTTTTGTACATCCTTCCTGGAGATTTATGGCAAGGTCATTAATGATAACTTACAGTAAGCCTAAATGCTCCAACAAAATCCATACAACGTCAAGAGAACAAGAAGAAGGCCCTGATAGAAAATTTCTAAGAGTACAGACAAGAGCTGAGAAACCACAGATGGGCCACAATCTGCATCATTGGAAGTATACACGTGAATGAGAACACACATTGTAGGGGTCTACACCTAGACTGCTAATCAGTTAGCAACTGATAATCTGCCTGAATATAATCTTCAATGGCTAGCATATTCCCCCAACATACTTCTTTCTATCCAAAGGATTCTGAACTCCCAGCCTTTGTTGTATGAACTCCCACTGCTTGCATCCTCTCTACAATCTCCCTCAATTCTTGCCCTGAAGTTCCACTTTAGAACTACCTATGCCCTTTCATTGTCTCTCTGAAACATCTGCTACATAGTTAATAAACTTGCTTTCATTTAGGCCTTTTATTTTGTCACTGCTTCAATCTCCTGGCACATGCCAAGACCTGGCTCAATCCAGAAGACAGGGCATCCTTGGCCACCCTTTCTAACTCCGGTTGTATTTTCTCTCATACACCTTGACTGACTGACCATGTTGGAGGGGTCTGGAATACTCCTTGCAAGGTTCATTCAATCCATATTTATCATACAATCAAGATGCCAAGAGCTATTATATATGGATCCCCAAGACATTCTCCTTCCTTCCTCAATAAATTTAGTGTCCAGTTCACAGTCTCTACCTTAACTCCTAATCTCATACTAGGGAACCATACACAGAAAAGGATATACCTTTGAGCTTGCCGTCACACAGAAATGTGTCACTCCTACGTTCATGAACTCCAAAATTTCTTTACCTGAGCATAATCTTTTGTCATCTCATTTTTCCCTTTGCTTTTCTACCCCTAATTCTGTTTCTCCTCCTTACCATGACCACCAACCCCTCCACACTTTAGTTCTTTCCAAGGCCACATGGCCCTGCACTTGTACACTCTCCTCCCTTCTCCACCTCAACCACTTGGTAAATTTAATTCTACCCTATCCTCTACACTAGACTCCCTCAGTCCCTTAATCCTCCTGAAGATCTTGCCTTTCCAAGCCCCAGGCTTAGAATACTCCTACCATCCATTCCTACTTCCACTTTGCTGAATACAGCTGGAGAAAATCATGAAACCATGATGACTGGATGCACTAAAAATTTATGTTAAATAATCTACATCTACCTGACTGTGGCAAGGTATTCTTTTATTACTCCCTGATAGATTCACTATCCAACTTACTACAATAGCCTTTCTAAACCTTCTCAATCTCTCTCCCACACCCTAATGGCTCCCACTCTCCTCATTCTCTAAGCTGAGAACCCTGCCTTGTATTTCACTAAAAAACGGGTCACTCTTTAAGACTTCCCTCATTTTGTGGCTGAATTTTTGAGGAAGCTGTATTATACACATGGCCTACCTTAGTCCTCATCCTTCTTGACCTATCTAAAGCCTCTAACATTGTCGAGCATCCTCTTCCCCTGGTTATTCTCTCTCCTCTAGGTTTTTGTTAGCTTGCTGTCTCCTCTTCTCCTCCTCCTTTTCCTTCCTTTTTCCCTGGTTCTCCTCCTTTTCCTCTCCTTTGCAGGCTCTTTTCCACATCTCACCCAGTAATCACTGCTTTCCTTCTCCTTTGCCCTCTGCTTTTCTTCTATAATGCCTTGGTGATTTTATCAGTTTCAATGGCCTCAATAATCATTTCCACGCAGATGATTCTCAGGTCTATTTAGCCAGGCCTAACCTCTTTGTTGATCTTCAGTTTCATATCCCCAACTGCATGTTAGAAATCCTGAACCGGATATCTCCCACAGACACCTTGAGCTCCACATGTCTAAAACTGAACTCATTATCTTTTCCCCAAACCTTCCCTTCTTCCCAACTTATTTATTTCTAGCAAGGGGACCCCCTCAGGTTCATAACCTCAAGGTCAGCCTCAACTCCTCAATCTCAAACTTCCCCTCCATTATTATTCAATCTGTTGCCAAATCCTGTAGCTTCTACCTTTAACACTTCTTCTATATACTCCTTTCTCTCCTCTTACTCAGTCAAGCAGGCTCTAATCACCTCAGGCCCGGACTACTGCAATAGCCTCTGGTTGGTCTCCCCTTTTCAAGTGTCTCCTCACTTCATTCCATCATCTACTCAGCTGACAAACAGCTGTTCCTAAAGCACAGGTCCAACCATATCATTCCCCTATTCAAAAATCTCCAGTGGCTTCCTATTACCTCCAGGACCAAATAAAAAATCCTCTAATCGGCTTTTAAAGCCCTTCACAACCTGGCCCCTTTCTTCTACCTTTCCAGTTTCATACTGTCCTCCCCTCCACATTCATTCATTCATTCAGTAAACATATATGAAGTATCTATTATGTGCCAGGCACTGTGATAAGTGCTGGGGATACAAAAAGAGGCAAAAGACAATCTCTGTCCTCAATGCGCTTACATTCTAAAGGCCAGCAAGGACTTGCTGTACCTCACACAAAATTCCATCTTTCAACTCCATGTTTTGTCACTGGCTGCCTCCCATGCCTGGAATTACTCTGTTCTCACCTTTACCTTGTGGCTTCCCTTGCTTTCTTCAAGACTCAGTTCAAATCCTACCTTCTGCAAGACATCTTTCCCAATTCCATTCTTACTCCTGAACTGTTAGAGCCCTCCTTCTGAGAGTTCCTCCAAGACCCTATATGTATCTTGTATGTACACAGATGTTGGCATGTGGTCTCCTTCATTAGAATGTGAGCATCTAGAGGTGAGGACTGGTTTTTGCCTTCCTTTTTATCTCCAGAAGTGAGGTCGGGATATAAAGATCTCCAAATACTTGTGCCTGGCACAAAACAAGTGTTTAATTAATTCTTGTTGAGTTAAGTAGCTTTCAAATTAACCACACAGGAAATTCTAAGACACTTATAAATATTATTTTAGTTTTTCTCTTTGGATGTTTCCAACATAGTCAGTCTAGGTCTAGAACTATATCCTCTGTCTGCTTCTTTCTTTCTCTGTCTCTGTCTCTCTCCCTTTCTCTTTTGTTAAGATAAGAAAGAAGCAGGTGATTCTGAGTCATATTTCTTCCATTTAATATTGGAATCCTACCATAATTAAGCATAATCATACAATAGCTTAAATAGGAAAAATGGTCACACAAAAGAACACAAAGAAACCCTTTCAATTATGTAGGGAGGCAAAAGAATACAACTTACACAGGTCAGGATGCACAATCAGGCAAAAATTTGAATCAAAAGACCCATGTGAGAACAAGAACCACCCTATACAACCTATAATGAGACTTCTATAAAAGTTCTTCATAGTGGTCATGAAAATCGGTTTTCTTTTCAAAGCACGTTACAATGATTCTATCTAGGTGCATTTTATTAAACACATTTTGTAAACATGACAGATCCATTCTCAGGCCTACACTTACAGAGAAAAGTTTTAGGTTGGTTTTGCATGAAGTCATGAGTCATCATCTTGTACAAAGAAATCACAAAAGATGTAACTTCTGGACAATTGAATTTCATTTATTTATAGCCTTTCAAACTGGGATAAAAAGCTCTCTGAAGCTTCCTGTTTCAATGGATATTACATTCTCTTCCACAAACTTCCAGAATGTGACTGATACATGTGGCTAGAAATTTTCTAATGACATAGCAAGTCCTAGGGGAATTGTGTCTCAACTGTACCAAGTGTTTTCTTGTGTCCAGAAACCTTTGAATCACATAGGTAGGCTGATCAACACAAGAACAAAGCAGTCGGAATAGAACATAGAAATAGATTAGCTGCTTTTTTAACAAAAGGGTGCTAAGCTGACCAAATATGAATATAAACCTACTTGAAGTATTTCCTAGAAAACACAAAGAGAACAGGAACCAAAATTATTTCAATAATATTTATCTTTTTTGGATCACAAAACATTTGATTTCTTCAGATATCTTCCACTCCTAGACCCTCTTTGTTATACACTGTCTTAAAATATATCTCAGACAAAAAATTACTCTAAGATAATAGTTAAAACAAAATTACTAAAATTCATATGGACTAAAAAAAATTCCTTGAGCCAAGAGCAAAGGAGTAAGACATTAAAAAGGAAATCTACTTGCACACATTTAAGATCTCTTAAAGTATATATTTAAATTGGCATAAGACTTAACATTGCAAATACTACTAAAGACTCCTATGAAAAATAAATAAAAGAGATTTTTAAAATCCTATTATTAATAAAGTCACAGTCACATATATTAGCACCAGTGCTACCATTTAAAAACTGTTATATAAGAAACTGGCTAATATTTTATTACTATGAGCAATTTAGTATCAACATGCAAAATTTCATACTTCTTCAATTTTACATATTTCAACAAAATATGACTTAAAAATTTTCAGAAAGTATCCCTCTATAAAATATATAACATTGTATTCTGTCTGATCTGTTAGCAATGGAAAAACCTACTTGTTTTTTAACTGCCTTTAAATGAAAAGTGCTATTGGGGGGGGCAGGGAGTGAGGTAATCAGGGTTCAGTGACTTGCCTAAGGTCACACAGCTAGTAAGTGTCAAGTATCTGAGGCAGCATTTAAACTCAGGTTCTCCTGACTCCAAGGCCGGAGCTTTAACTACTGTGCCTTCTAGCTGCCCCATAAGTGCTATTTTTTCTAAATAAATTCATGGCTTTTTTTTTAAGTGCTTCCTTTAAAAATTTATTAATTTTTTTAAAAATACAAAAATTAAAATCCAGTCCAATCAAATTTACAGAAAATGTTTAAATGAAAGATTTTTTTCCAATGTTTGAGATCTTAAATTGATGTTTACAAATAAATTCCCAAAATAGGTTTCATGGGGTCATTGGGTAGAGGAAGGGGAGATATAAGAAGTCTATCATTTATTTCTACTTCCATTGGCCATGCTAAAAATATCTAAGGCTTTATATGATCTATGGAAACAGAACAAACTTGCCTCAGATTTAACTCTAAAAGAATCAGATAGATTTTTGACAAGAAATCCTGAGGCTTGAATAAAATGGTACTGGTTGGTAGTAGCACATGTCATCATTATCAAAAAAATTCATTACTTAGTTAAATAGCCATTAAATAGTCAGTTTGTGGTTCCCCCCCACACCAGCTCAAGAAGAAGACTTTTTTGGGCCTCAGGATATTCATTCAACAAAATAGGGTAAAACCAATGACTCAAACATACTAAGGGCTTTTAAAAAACTTATGTTAATTAAAACACTGCAACATTTTGTTATTGTTGTTCAGGTGTTTCAGTCATGTTGACTCTTTATGACCCCATTTGGGGTTTTCTTGGCAAAGACACTGGAATGGTTTGACATGTTTCAGACTGGATTTCAACTCGGGAAGATGAGTCTTCCTGACTCCAGGCCCAGCACTCTATGCTCTATATATTGTAATACCTACCTTATATTCAACTGAATATGAAGGGAGAAGTTTACATACACACATAGTTAAGAAAGATTAAGCTAACCCATATGTTCTTTCCTGATAGAGTAATTCTATCAATTGTATCTCCTGAAATTACCTGTAGAAAGTATGATGCTCCACACACACTTTCCATAACCTTTTAGCAGCCCGGTGGTTTGGCAGTTTGAACCCAATGGTGCTCTCAAACTGTTCCAGCTGGAATGAATCCACAAAACAAATTAGCACATTTAAAAGTTCATCACCAACCAGTACCAGGGCTTCTAGGTTTCTATTAGTAGCAATTCTCCTTTCTTGAGAAAGTGAAAAGGCTGATTTGCATATACTTAATAGTTGGTGCACTGTAAGAATAATAATAATAATAATAATAACAGAATTTTCTATCTTCATAAACATATAAACCTATTCAAATAAGCTTATTATATTTTGGTGTCCCCTGGAAGTTATCAATTCTTTAACATAACTTTAATACTGCTTTCCTATTGATTCCTTTTTTAATTACAGGAATGGACTTACAGAAAGGATTAACACTGGAAAAAACTCTTTTAGGGAAATGACCAACTGTTCATTAGATTTAAATTACTGTAAGAAAAGTTGATTTAAATATAAAGAACTTATTTACTGTAAAAGCAATGAAAACTGAGAAATATGGAATTAATTGATTAAAGACGCTAAGGAAAACTGACTCCGCACTGCTCACCTCTGCTGGCCTGACTTTAATGTAGAAGTTACTGCGCTTGTAGGAGATTTTCAGGATTTTAGGCCAGGCAAATCGATTAATTCTAAGTCTGTCCTTATAAATAAGGAGTCCATTAGCACACACACCCAGCTTGATGTCCACACCTTCCGAATCCTACCAAACACAAAGTATTAAATGCTGGTTAATAACAACAACAAAAATAGCAATAACAATAATAATAACAGCTAGTACTTATAGTATGCTTTCAGGTTTGCAAAGTGCTTTATATATGTTATCTCATTTAGGTACATAGTCATTTGGTTATCTAGTCTTTTAATGCCAAAAACAGAAATGGTGACTTTTATAGATTTTACCTTTAAATAATAGCAAGAATAGAAAAAAAAGATCGAGACTGTAGAAAACAAGGCATTCCCTAGAATCTATCCATTTTCAAGGATCATATTTTATTTTTCAAAGAACTGTTGTAATCTCAGGTCTCACTACTTTTTAAGAAGCAATGTGGTGAGTGAATTACTGAACTCCTTTCTAAGGGTTAAGAGGGCAAGAATGGGAGGAGGGGGGGAAAGAGTAGGGAATGGAGCTAGATTTTCCACAGAAAAAGGGGTAAGAAGCTAAAATGTGTGTTTTGTTGGAATATATACCAATCTCCTGTGGCAGGGTGACAAAAAAAGAAGCTTGGCAGCCCTGACTTTGAATTCAGTCATTTTGGTAGAGGGTTTTTAAGTGTCTTTTTTTTTTTTTTAAACCATCGATGAATCATTTTGGCTGACAGGTATGGGATGATCTCAGTATTACATTCTGCAAAAACAATCACTCATTCCAAACTTCCCTTCAAGGCAAGCTGAGAGTTACAATTTCCCCTAGTATAATGGAATCCCCAAATCCTTCCAAGCAGGTCACCAGTAATACAGTGCTGACATCCACTTGTCATTACAACATTCCTTTGGCTGGCACATTTTAAAGGATTGAAAACTATTCTTGAGTTTCCTAATATTGGCTTCCCTCTAAGGCTTTTGTTTGGAAAAAGAAGGCAATCTGAAATAACTATCAGCCCGAAAGATTTAAAGGAACCAAGGAAGTTGAGACAAAAATGAGCAACATGGCATATGCAGCTCTCTGACAGTTCCAGTATTGTATGAGACACAAGATGTACAATCCTGTAAATATATCATTCATTAATGCTTCATCAAGCAATAGAGACTTAGATTTCATTAAAAAAAATAAACTAAATTACCCCGAGCCATCACATATTAAAAATCAATTAGTGACATGATACATGTTCTGTTCCTTACAACATAAATGCAAAATGAACTGAATCCCAAAACTATCACTAGTCTCAATCTTAATCCAATAAATTAAAACTCATATTTCAACCTGGCATTGAAAAAAGCATCTTATGTTTGTTTTAAAAATAAATGTAGTGGTAGGGCGTTTCACGACTACTGATTGCCAAATGTTCTCTCTTCAATTATACTTCTAAATTCATGTGCATACTTAAAAATGCACTAAATCATCCATCTGAATAGTGGGGGTTTTGGGGGCGGGGAATCCAACCCATATGGTGTGTTTTTCACTCTTTTCTGGAAGAGAATCTTCAAAAAGTCCTAGAAATACTAGAAGCAGGGATAAAAGAGAAGACTCTCTGTACAAAGCCACTTAGTTCCAAATCAGGTTGCCAAAAATTACTTGCTAGGACCAGAGAAGCAAGAGGTTATCTGTGAAAATATTAAGTTCTTACTCGTCTTTTAAAGCCCAAAGTAAAGGTCTACTTCTTCTATGAAGACACATACCATACCACCAAGCCTCTCACATCAGGGAGCTCTCTCTTAAAATACTTTTAATTTAATTTGGTATATGCTAGATCACAAGTTCCATAGCAGTGGAAACTGTATTATAACTGAACTTTGCATTTTTTCCCAATGTCTAGCATAGTACTCTGCACATAAAAGGCGTTTAGTGCTTGTTGAGAGAAGAGATCAATGTCATCATCAATGAGAAAGCAATCCTTACGTGAAGCACTGTACTAAACCATTTCCATACGAGTTCAGCATACTGAAGATGCCCAATACGATGTTATTTGATATATTAATAATAATGAATTGATTTCAGGTAAACCTTTATTTCTACTGACCTCTTGTGTTTTTATGAATGCTACTATTCTAAGTTAATAAGTGACTTTGGTAGGCAGGAACTGTTAGAATAAAAGGGATTAGAAAAATAATGACAATAAAGTATAAAGGAGACCCAAACCCTCCAAAGTATGCATAGTGAAGGAAACCTTTTTAAGCACCCTATGTGTGTTCTTTCCAGTGTCTACAAAGTGAGCCCTAGTATTTTCTGGTTGTTTTCTTCACATACCCCATTGACTAGATTAGGTAAGGAAGAGATAAGTATGAGATCCACCTTCCAGAACAAAAATTTACATGGGATCTGGGAGAGGTTTCCATCTTTCCTATTTCCCCTGGCTCAAACACCTTACTGCCCATACACACATACCACTCATTTTTTAAAAATGCAAAATTTTAAAAAAAACTCCAGTAAAGAAAAGAGGCTCTTCCGTAGAACTGTGAATTTAGAATTGGAAGGTACCTTAGATGTCTCCCTAACTTTACAACTGAAGAAAATGAGGCCCAGAGAGGTCACAGAGCTACTAAAAGTGGTAGAGGAAAGAATCAAACCCAGGTCATCTGATTCTAAATGTATTACTCTCTTCCACACCACCATGATGTTGATTCACAATATACAGAAGCTCTTTAGAAAGCACTTACATCCATAATACTGATGATTATCCTTTAACCTCTTATCTAATTGTAGCGCAAAGGTAAGGGCTGGGGAAAAGGCAAAGGCAGACAGAAACTGGCAGGGATAATGCAAGAACTAGGGTCATAGGAACTTGCCAAAAAGAGAACTAGAACAAAATTAATTAGGATGACAGTGTTTAAAGAAGAAATAGAGAGGACTTATAGAAAGGGAACAGATATAGAAAAGAAGCATGATTTAGAGTGGGAAAAGATGATACAACAAGGGAGAAGAAAGAAGAAAGTGATCTGGTCTCTTTAAATGTTACAGCCACTCAAAGAAATACAATTCAATACCCTGGGTTAACAAATAGGTTTTTTCATTAAAAAAGACCTAAATCAAATCAAGTGCTTAGCACAGAGCCCGGCATGTATTAGGCACTACAGAAATGTTTATTCCCTCCCCTGCACCCAAATTCTCTAAGGCTGCTTAGGTTATTTTAAAGCTCAAATACTTTGCTCTTGAAACAAGAGCCTGAAGAGTGGGGTGCTAGGTTATACATTAGTGCACACAGTTTCTAAAACAGATTTATGTGGCAAAGGTGATAGAAGACAGAAATGGACAGTGTTGTATAATGAAAGACACAACAGGACATTGTCGGAGGAACTATGAAATATTACAACCCTTAGGGAAAACAATTTATAATTTATATAAGAAAAGTCATTAAAGTCTTTATGCTCTATAACCCAGGTATCTAATTATAGGTATGTATCACAAGGGGAAAGGGTGGGAGAGGCAGAGAAGGGAAGAAGGGAGGGAAAGAGGAAGGGAAAATGGAGGAAGGAAGGGAAGGAAGGACGGGAGGGAGGGAGGGAGGAAGGAAGGAAGGAAGGAAGGAAAGAAGGGAGGGAGGAAGGGAGGAAGAATAACTTAGCCACATTTTTTGTGCTTATCAAAAGAACAGGAAAAATGGGTACTTCATGATTGGAGTGCAACTGTAAAAATGTGGTTTGAGAATATCATTGTACCATTTAGAGATGATGAATATGAGGAATTCAGAGAAACATGGGAAAACTTGTAGGAACTGATGCAAGGTCAAGTAAATGGAACCAAGAGACTAATGCACACAGTAAATACAATGACATAAATAAAAACAACACAAAAAGGCAAACTGATTAATTGTAATGATCAATCTGGATTCAGAGAACAGATGATTAAACCCCAAGGTAGACAGTTAGTGGGACTAAGGGCACAAAATCTAGCACAGGGTCTTAGATAAGGTCATTGTATTGTCTGGTTTTGCTTAACTTTTCTTCTTTGTCATAAGGAAGGGTTCAATGAAGAGCTGGAGGTTAAATCCAGCCTTTTTAAAAGGCTTTTTAAAAACAGCATAACAAAACTTTTAAAAATAGCTTTACAATACCTTGGCATGATGCAGATCTACACCATACATGGAAAGTCTCTTTGCATTTTCTAAGAACTGAGAATCAGCTTGTGCTGGAGATAAGCCCCTAAGAATCATAAGGAATAATATTATTTTATTAATGGGAAAATATGTGAATAAAATTCATGACCAAAAAACATTTTCAATTTTATAGAAATGTACACAAATCATCTTTTCCTTACACTTTAACCTTCTTCTTTTCTTATTATGACATTCTAAATAAAGTTTTGATTTTTTTGTTTTGTTTAAAAAAAAAAAAGAAGAGGCCATATGCCCAATTGCCTGAAGAAGCTGTGTTTTAGTATTGCCTTACGGAAAATAAAACTTCATTAAGTCATCCAAGTCCAACTTAACTGACTACTTGTTTTAATCTGTCCCAGGTGAACAAATTCTAAATCCTTAATTTTATTCTCAATTAAATTATTTGATGAAAAAATGTGATGACATTAATTTTTTAAACCTATAAATAAGAGATGATTAAGTGAACATCGATTGTTCAATATGTGTTTTCAGTAGCTAAATGCTCTTTTAAAAGCATTCTGAAGTTCAAATGTAATATATCTGAAAACTTAGAAAACATGAAGGCACTATATAAATGAAATTATTATCACGGGTATATCATAAGTGAAACTCAAGATCCTATGTTACTTAAATAAATGTCTGTGTCAATTACCACAGATCATTCTCTTTACTGCTGAAGTGTAGTTTCAAAACAAAACTTAAAACAAAAACAAACAAAAAAACCTCCAAACTTCTTAAACTCTTCTACTTCAAGAGGTACAAAATCTTCAATTCACAGTACTCCTTGGAACTTAGATGGATCTATTATTATATACTGATATGTGCACTACCTCTATCAGTAAAGACAACACATTCTCCTCCTGTTGAATTCTTATTAATGTCCTCTTTTCATAGGTCATCTACAGAGATAACCAACTGCTGGAAGTCTTCTTATGGGTCTCTTTACATCTTGTGGTACTAGCGCAGCAGTCAGTATTGTCTATCTGTCGTCTCTCACTCCAAGACCAGCCCACCTCCTTTTCCAGTGATAGTCCTCCATTCTATTCCATATTTTTATGATAATTAATGTTGGAAATATACATCAGCTTTGTATCCAACATGTACCCCCCACTGACTTCTGTCCCCTACAATTTTGATGCTTCTGAAATTGTGATGTTCTAAGATTCAGAATATACTGCATAACTAGGAAACATCTGCCTTAAAAAGAGAAGTTTATCATATCAGGAAGCCACTCAGGATTATTAAGCACACTGCAAATTCCCAACTGCAATTCAACTAAATTTCTTCTTCCTACTCAATCATCCATCCATAATGCCTGTTTCAGGTATGTATATTGATATTATTGATATATTAATTCAATGCACACTGCAAATTCCCAACTGCAATTCAACTAAATTTCTTCTTCCTACTCAATCATCCATCCATAATGCCTGTTTCAGGTATGTATATTGATATTATTGATATATTAATTCAATGCACAGGATATCTAGCTGCATTTCACAGTTAGGACAACAGACCTTTTAAACCTATTTATTGTTTAATGTATGGATTATTAGGACAAGTTCTTTTAAGTAGTCATGGGTCTCACTGGAAAGGCACTATAATATTCTGAGGTTGACAGCTGCAATACACAGTACAGTATCATCTGCAAAAAAAAATCATTTGGAGAACTCCACCATCTTCTACAATGACTATTTCTTCCATTTGAACTCATTCTCCATGGCTGTGGAAAACACTCCATTACAATTTATCTCCCTTTATCATTCCTACCTTGATGTTAATAATTAGGCATGTGGCATTTATCAAGGAGTCTTATAAGATCTTAACAAATGCATGAGAGATTTCTTGCTGCACCCTTTAAGGCAAATCCATGAAGTTATTTTTAAGATATTCTGGTATCTGGATTTCAATTTAATTGGTTTCCTTTGTAGACTTATATATTTTATTTTATACATTTAAAAGAGTTCAAAGGCTTAACTAGCCTGCCAAAGGGGGAGGAGGTTGCGGGAGGACAATGATAGAAGAAGAAGAAAGATCTCTGTTTAATTCTACATTTAACTCTGATTGAAACATGTTTATTTTTCTTTTTGAAATTCAGAAAAGAAAGCACATAGTAATCTTGTAATATCTACATCTTTCAGTCCAATCTGTAACTGTGAAGATAGGATCTTCTGTGAAAACTGAAATAACCATTCTCATTTTCATCAAGAATTCTTACTACATGTGTAGATCATTCTCAGACTTTATAAAGATGAGAAAGTAGGCACATGGATCAGAAATTATTGATGTTTTCTCAATTGTCTTTTTTTGTGAGAGGGTAATTTCTCTTCCAATTTATCTTTTGCAATAGATGGTGATGGAGAAGGTACAATATTTCCCATTATGCTGTTCTTGGTTATGTACATTATGAGCACTGAAAGATAAGATGGAAGTGTGTTCAACAAAATGTTGTGTTTTTTGTTGCACTTGGACACATGGCAAAACAACTCTTCAGCATGACTCTCCAAGGAGGGTCAATGAAGCATTTTCCCCTTCAACTACAACTTCCTTTTGTCTTCTGGTTTCATTGATCACAGGAATATCAATACAATGTGATTCATTTCTTCTAAAAGAATACCAATTCACTAGTCAATAGCCAAAGATTTCATATTTAGAATGTCTATAGTAAACATTTATAGCTTTCCTAAAAGCTGTGTGATTCTTACTTAGCCCACCTTAAGCCCTATTTTTCACTATTCCACCATCACTTGAAGAAAGCCACAAAATACTAAGGGCTATCATTTGCCTTTGTCATTTCCAAAGAATTCATCACCTAATAGTTGGCCTACTGGAGATGAATCTTTGTATTTCATGAAACTGGTCCCTGAATGAAGTCTATGCCCCATACTACTTAAAGCCTTTCAAAGCATGAGAGAAGCTTTCATTTAGCCTGAGGTTACAATTTGCTAACACAGTCTTCAAGAACTGAGGGTCAAGAACCCAAGGCACCAAGAGAGAATTTTCCTCAGGAATCTTTATTTCTGATCCTCCCTGGCCATGACAAAAGGCCATCTCGTGTGTGTGTGTGTGTGTGTGTGTGTGTGTGTGTGTGTGTGTGTACACATATACATATTATAAATAATACATACACACATCATATATACACATACATATGTATATATGTGTATATACATAAACATACATACATGTGTATGCATGCATGTATGCATGCATGCATGTATATAGGAGCCATTTATGTTTCACATACCACACCTATTCCCACCCAAATTAAACGTTCATAATCTATCAAAGCCTATTTAACAAATTTAAAATTAAACACTTAAAACAATTATTGTTAATAAGGATAAGTAGAGGATATGTGTAAATGAATACATAAATAAAATATACGAAGGATATACTTAGCTTTTTCATAAATTAAAAATTCATTATCGTTTTTTCTCCATTTATTAGGAATTGGTCAGATAGTCTTTCTTTGAGACATTCATAGGGTGGTTACCCTAAGGTAAAATGTAAACATTCCACCAAAATATCCCATTTGTCAGTATCTAGATGTTAAGCTAATTGTATGTAAGTAGAATTAACCCTAACCAGTATTTTCTCTCCCCAGCACAAAAGTGAACACACCTGTGAGTTTTGTGCAGCTCTATTACTTTTTCTTCCATCTCCTTAGTTTGATTGGGTGCAAACTGAAATTCACTGATATAATCACTGCTGTGTTCCTCTGGGTCATAGTCACCAAGCTCAGCTTGCAGTGTATATGAACCAAGGAGAGCATGAGTCACAAAAGAACACGGTAGGCGGCCAGAAGCAATATCCTGTCGAAGTTGAAGGCACAGGAAATACCTATGGGAGGGAAAAGAAAATCATTTATTTTCATAGTACTTACAGAGTTCTAATAATATTCTTCAAACATGATTACATTAAGAACAAATGTTCACACCAGAGATAATTTTTATGACAATAATTCAATTTGACAAAGCTTATACTCAATCATATCTCTTGTCTACAGATTGTACAAGATGTCTATGCAGATATGTGCATTGAATCAACAAAATGCAAACTATAAGATTTGATTATGTACTGCTGATACTATGGCTTTTAAATTTTTTATATTCTATTTTTTCCAATTACATGTAAAAATCATTTTTAACATTTTTAAAAAATTTTGAGTTCCAAATTTTCTCCCCTCCCCTCCCCCCTCCTTGAGAAAGCCAGCAATTTGATATAGATTATACATGTGCAGTCATGCAAAGCATTTTTCCACATTAGCCATGCTGCAAAAGTAAAGAAAAAGAAAGAAGGTTATTAAAAAGTATGCTTTGATCTCCATTCCGACTTCATCAGTTCTTTCTCTGGAGGTGGATAGCATTTTTCATCATAAGTCCTTCAGAATTGTCTTAGATCATTGCATTTCTAAGGATAGCCAAGTCATTCACAATTTATCAATATACAATATTGTTGTAATTGTGTACAATGGTCTCCTGGTTCTGCTCACTTCACTTTGCATCAGTACATGTAAGTCTTCCCAGGTTTTTCTGAAACCATCTGGCTCATCATTTCTTGTTGATGCTATGTTACGTATGTGAAATATCCTTTGGGTGTGCCTTATCTCCAACTACCTCCCACCACAATCTTTGGATGTAACTACTAAATTGGTGCCACATGAGCATTTAGTCCAGTCCCTAGAGACCTAGACTTTGAGCCTGAACCAGTTCCTTGTTGTTACAAGAGGAAACACTGCACGAACACTATCCTTTCGCTAGCACATTTTTACCTCCTACTTTCCTGGTCTCTGCAAACTCACTAACATGTCTCAGATGACAGCTGCCATTCCTTACTAATTTTCTTTGTCTCCATTCACTTCAATCTTCCATTCCCCATTCCCCATTCCCTTTCCTCTTTAGCCTTCAGACTTCTCCCTCCTCCCAGGGAAGATAAAACTTCCTTTCATCTTTGAGCTCTCTTTTTACTCTCTTCTCATCTTCTTCTACTAACAGAAACCTCACTGTCTCTAAGACTTTCTTGCCAATGCTTAGCTAACTGCTCTATATTGTACAATCTCTGACATACTGTATAAAAGGAGAAGCTAGCATATCTCTTGTCCTTTGCAGCAACTTCTAGACTCTCTCCCAAGCCACCATCACTGGGCAACCTCTCCATCACTGAGCTTCCCTTCATCTATCTACATTATGTAGTCCAAAACTCAGGTGCTGTGAATTATTGGTCTCCAACTCAATCTTTAAGAAAAAAAACACCTGACTCAATTTCTCTCTCTCTCCAACCTTATCTCCCAGGTTCAACCATCTCAATTCGTGTGGCCTACTGACTTCACTCTACCCTACGTTACCCTTAGTGATGGTCACAGAGCTCATCATTATCTAATTAATGTGACTCCTCAATTCTAAGAGATACCCTTCTCTAATCAAAATTTGATTCTCTTCTTTCTCCCTCTGTCTCACTTCTCCTAAACTAATTACCTGTTACCCCTTTCCCCCTATCACTTCCTGTCCCTCCATCCACCACTATTGTCCCAGTCAATCACCTTTGCTCTGAACTAATATTCCTCTTTTCATAGTCATGACCCTATAGTTGACCATTTTAAATACATATTATCCTCTACCCCTTGACTCACAATCTGGCAATTTCTCAACCACAGAATGCCCTCACTAGCTACCTACTCTACTTATAGCAAAGGTGTCCACTGGAAAGTTCAGAATATCTTATGTCAACCAGGCCCTCACTGCTATATAGCAAAACACTTATCCTCCTTTGACTCAATATAATTAGCAATAAGTACCTTCTAGATACAAAGCATTTTGATAGGCATTGGGAATAAAAAGCCCCAAAACAAAACAAACAGATCCTGCTTAACTAGGAGCTTCCCAGGGAGGATAAAATATGTGCATTGATAGGTCAGTACAACTTCTAGAGAAAATAAAGTCAAGTAAGAAAGAGCATCAGTACCATTGCCCCCCTCAATCCTCAGAAGGGACAACAGGAAAAACCTTTGGGCAGGAGGTAACGCTTGAACTGGGCTTTAAAAGGAAGCACTTGGAAGAAGGGAGAAGGAGAGTATTCCAAACAGGGAGGGAATCAGCTCTGCAAAGGCACTAAGACAGGAAATGCATTTTCAAGTACAAGAAAATAGCTAGCCAGTGTGACCGCAACGGAGAGTACATGAAAGTGAACAAAATGAAATAAGACTGGGAAGGTAGGCAGCAGGTAGTCGGAGAGATCACATTCTGCCCTCTATCATCAATCAACAAGTATTTATTAAGCACCTACTATATGTCCAACACTGTGCTAAGCAGTAGGAATACAGAAAGAGGCAAAAGACAGTTTCTGTCCTCAGGGACCTTACAACTGTGAAACAGCTTTATTAAGAGCAGATACAAATTTTTGTTGAATGAAAATATTAATATTTCAATTACCAAGTATTTATTATTGTTATCCTAAACTACATTTCAAGGACTGATTCTTTTTCCTGATTCTGCATATTTTCTACTCATTATAAGATTTTCCCCCCAAGGAGAAATGGTGTTAGTGGCACCTAACATTAAAGTTTGCTATTGTTGTTTCAAAATCTTCCATCCTTCACAATTTTGCTATTGCTATGTGATTCCTATTAATCCTCCACATTCACAGTCTTGGATGTCATCGTTGCAATTCTACATTTAGTCCATTATTTCTTTCTGTATGGTTTTTAGGTGTATTCTTTCCCCTCCTTTCTCACAATTCATTCATTCATTCATTCATTCATTCAATAAGCAGTTATTAAGCACCAGTGAGATGCCAGGCACAGTACCAGGTTGCAGGCAAAGGAAGAGAAACAGGAGATGGAATGTTGCCTACCAGGGAGCAGCATCAAATAGGCCAATCCAAATGTTTATCTGGGCCATAAAAATTTCACATAGACAAAATTATGCTTCGTAAGAACCATTCTAAATAGGTACCCATCCTCCCCCCTGACCCCACCTTCATAAAAGCCTTCTAAATTGATGGATTCTGTATGTATTTAATCTGCCATGCACTCAACTTAGACAGGTGCTAGGCACAGGAGAGAGAGACAGAGAGACAGACAGAGAGAGAGAGAGAGAGAAGAGAGAGAGAGAGAGAGAGAGATCCATGGAGCACAGCATCCAATAATTTAACAAAGGACAGACAAGCAAATGGTTCTGCACAGACATGGCCCATAAACCAGGCCTTTAGTGTACCGCTCAGGATTATAACTCTTTCAATTGCTGACAGAGTTGCTTTTCAACAAGCCCGTTTACATGAAGACCCAAAGCACTTACTGATACTATAAAATAACCATAACCAAGAGATTTTAATCCCCCAACAATTTACAGCAGGGAGCGTGTATGTATACAGAGCTGGGTGTTGGTTTACAGAGCCTTAATTAAGGTCTATTATTTAAAAGCACTCTTGCTTAGAAGCTCTGTATTCGATGCATGTCAGCATGTCGGATTCAATGCTCCAACAGCTTACTATGCAGTTAAAAAGGCCATTATTTACTAGCTGAAGCAAATCCAGATCAGAGATGGATTAGTAATGGTACATCTCCCCTGCTTCAGCTACAAGCGGGGAAAAGTCAAGATGCGTATCCTTTTACGCACTCCTAGAGAGGAATCTGCATCATCAGTAATTCATACTAACATCACAGCCCTCTTGCGTACCAATACATCGTCAATGTCTGACCGAAAAAGGAGCCTGGAATAGGCCTTAGCAAATTGTGTCAAATGAATATACAGCAGATTTACAAAGCTATCTTTTTTCTAAGACCTATAAGCAAAGGAAGATGAGAAAGCAATTGTTTTTGAGACTAACTCTCCATGCGCAAATTTTGCCATGTGCAAAGCCTCAAACAAAGCTGACTTAGACACACGGGGACACACCTACCCCATTCACAACTAGAATGATGAATCTCATATAAGTCAACATCAAGAAAATGTTGTAATCATTTTCTTGTCTAGTAGAGAAATTATATAGAAACACAGATATAGCCCCTCTCTGTTTCCTCAACTGTAAAGTGGGGATGATAATAAATAGCACTTATGCCCCAGATTATTGTGAGGACAAAATGAGATAACAGATAATATCTTTAAAGTACTTTGCAAACTCTAACGTATTATATGAATGCTAGCTACTATTTCTGATATGATTATTATTATTACGGAGACAGCACTGCATAATCAATCAATAAATAAACATTCATTAAGTGCCTATTATGTACCAGGCACTAGGGACACAAAAAGAGGCAAAAGGTAAGTTTCTGTCCTCAAGGACTTCACAATTTATGGAGGGAGACAATATATAAACAAAAATACATAAAGCAAGCTACGTACAGGATAAATAGGAAATAATTAGGAAAGGGAAGGCACTATAATCAAGAGGGCTTGGAAGAGGTTTCTTGTGAAAAAAAAAGAGGGGGATTTTTAGCTAAGACTTAAAGGCAGAGCAGACCATGCCTTCTAGGCCTGGGGGACAGCCAGAGAAAATGCCTGGAGCTGAGAGATGAAGTGTCTTGTTTATGGAAAAGCCAGGAGGCCAGTGTCCCTATATCAAAGAGAATGTGTCAGGGAATAAAGTATAAGGAGACTGGAAAGGTAGGAGGGGGCTAGGTTATGAAGGCCTTCAAATGCAGAGGACTTTATGTTTGATCCTGGAGGTAACAAGAAACCAATGGAGTTTATTAAGTGGAGTCCATGCTTGGACTTATGTTTTAGGAAAATCACTTTAGTGGCTAAATGGAGAATGGACTGGAGTGGGGGACAGACTTGAGGCAGGCAAACCAACCTGCAGGCCACTCAATTACGCAAGCATGAAATGATGAGGGGCTGTACCAGAATGGTGGCAGCGTCAGAGGAGAGAAGGGGGCATATTTGAGAGATGTTGCAAAGGTGAAATTGACAGGCCTTGGGCAACTAGTTTAGATATGGTGGTAGGTGAGAGAGTAAGGAATTAAGGATCACACCCAAACCTGAGGAACGGGGAGGATGGTGCTGCCCCCTACAGTAATAGGGAATAATAACAGTAATAGGCAGAGGTGGCGGGTAGGATTTAGGGGGAAAGATAAGTCAGTTTGGCTTCAGAAATAATGAGTTTAAGACATCTACTGGACATCCAATTCAAGATATCTGAAAGGCAGCTGAAGATGCTGGACTAGAGGTCAGCAGAGATAGCATAATAGATAGAGAGTAGGCATTGGTGTCAAGAAGAATCATGTTCCACAAGCCATTCCCCAATTGATAAATGGTCAAAGGATATGAACAGACAATTCTCAGATGAAGAAATTAAAGCCATCTATAGTCATATGAAAAAATGCTCTAAATCGTTATTGATTAGAGAAATGCAAATCAAAACAACTCTGAGGTACCATATCACACCTATCAGATTGGCCAATATGACAAAAGAGGAACATGATAAATGTTGGAGAAGATGTGGGAAAATTGGAACACTAATACATTGTTGGTGGAGTTGTGAAATGATCCAACCATTTTGGAGAACAATTTGGAACTATGCCCAAAGGGCTACAAAAATGTGCATACCCTTTCATCCAGAAATAGCATTTCTAGGGCTATATCCCAAAGAGATCAAACAAATGGGAAAAGGACCCACATGTACAAAAATATTCATAGCAGTTCTTTTTGTGGTGGCAAAGAATTGGAAATTGAGAAGATGCCCATCAATTGGGGAATGGCTGAGCAAGCTGGGGTATATGAATGTAATGGAATACTATTCTGCTATAAGAAATGATGAACAGGCTGACTTCAGAAAAACTTGGAAAGACTTATATGGTCTGATGCTGAGTGAAGTGAGCAGAACCAAGAGGACTTTGTACACAATAACAGCCACGTTATGCAATGACTAAGATTGTTAAACTGAACCCTTCTCAGCATTACGAGGATCTAAGACATCTCCAGAGGCCTCAGGATGGAAAATGCTGTCCACATCCAAAGAAAGAACTATGGAAGTCAAATTGCTCTCACTTATTTTTACCGTCTGTTGAGTTTTGTTTCATCTTTCTGATGGTTCCTCCTATTGGTTTTAATTTTTACTTACAACTTCACTAATGTGAAAATATGTTTAATGGGTATGTAAATGTAAAGCCTATATCAGATTGTGTGCCGTCTTGCGGGGGGGGGGAGGAAGGGAGAGAAAAATTTTCAACTCAAAAGTATATGGAAGTGATTGTTCATAAATCAAAATAAATTAATTTTTAAAAAAGACTGAAAAAAAATCGTGTTCAAGTTCCACGTCTAACTTATACTCATTGTGTGAGCCTGGAGAAATCATTTAACCTGTCTGTCTATGCACCAGGCATTTCTTTAAGAGGGTAGAGGGAGTTTCCTCACTGGCAGTTCTCTAAGAAATGAAATAAAAGGCCTAGACAACGTGTGTGTGTGTGTGTGTGTGTGTGTGTGTGTATGTGTGTGTGTGTGTGTGTGTGTGTACACACATATACACATATACATATAATAATATATAAATATTTATACAGATAGAGAGCGATACATAGAGGGTCTCAGTGCAATGTAATACATTTCAATCACTTTGAAAAATTCCAAGTCTCATATTAATAATCTACTACTTTTAATCCACTACTTCTAAATGCATCACCTGGATGCTAACTCAAGCCTTAACTGACACCACCTCCTTCAGTCTTCTCTCCCCTCTGATTAGAAGGCTAGAATTGGACTTCTAGCTTCATCAGCAACTTGGCTTGGTTTTCAACTACACCAAACAAAATACCCAATGGAGTCATCCACTTTCCCTACCTACCTTCCCTTCATCTACTACCTTGCTTCAGGTAGTTCAAAGGACATCTGATTCTTGTTTTCAGTACTACTAATACTACTTTGCTTGAATAATACCAAAAGCCTTCTCCTGACTCTTGTTTTCAATGACCTTATTGAGTGAAAGGCAAAATTACTGTAAGGCACATTGGAATGGGTTTCTCTTTTGTTTTGTTTTTCATTTAAAAGCTCTCAATAGAGTGCTATAAGGTGCCCTGGAAATTCCAAGTGAAAACAAAATTTACATCCTATAAAATCCCATTGCACTATGTATAAAGGCAATTACATTAGAATTCCAGTGAAAAGGAAGAAAGGGATCTCAAAGGAGAAATATAGGGGACCATACTTTGGAATGAGAAAATAAAGAGTTGAGAAGCATTTGACTTACTGATTCCTTCTCATTATCCTATTTCCAAGCCAAACTGTCTACTTGTTGTATCCAACATACCACCTCCTATCTCTCACCTTCATGACTTTGTACTGGCTCTCCCCCTTTGCTGGAATGATCTCCTTCCTTAGCTCTGCTACTTAGAATCACCTCTTCTTCCTTTCAGTCTCCACTCAAGGGTCAATTCCTTCCATGAGGCCTTTATTGGTTCCCTTCCCTTCTCAATATGTATTTTGTGCTTACTCTGTATAAACTTGGCATTTACTTAGCTGTGTACAGCTCTAAATGTTTCCAACTCCCCAGTAAATTACAAACTCGAATTTTAAACTTTGTATCCCAATTCCTAAGAGGCATTATAGCATAAACAGAGAGCCAGCACTGGAGTTGGGAGAAATTTCTATTTGCTGTGTGACCCTGGGAAAGTACCTTAACCTCTACGTGCCCCAAGGCAAACTCTCAAAGACTGTAAGTTATACAGCAGCACAGATCTGTACTGAAGGAGAGAACTTCTTCACCAGGAGCTCTGTACACCAAAGAAATCACAAGTGTCTTTCACAAGGAAAAAAAAATTCCCAGTGCTTAAACTCAAGCAAGTAGTTAAATGTTTTCTAAATTGAGATGAAAAGTAAAAATATACCGAGTTGTTGTTGAGTAGTTTCAGTCATGTCTGACTCTTCGTGACCCCATTTGGAGTTTTCTTGGCAAAGATGCTGGGGTGGTTTGCCATTTTCTTCTCCACTCATTTTACAGAGGAAGAAACTGAGGCAAAATGGGTTAAGTGACTTACCCAGGGTCACACAGCTAGTAAATATCTATGGCCAGATTTGAACTCAGGAGGATGAGTCTTCCTGACTCCAGGCCTTGCACTTTGTCCACTGCACCACCTAGCCATCCAACATCATAAATAGTAAACAAAATTGTCTCTGAATGAAGTAAAACTCAAAATATTAAAATCGAAACAAAAAATAGGGGATCTAGTTGTTAGGGAACTCAATCATCAAATAATAATAAGTTCACAGACACTCCTGAAATCTATCCTTGGATTTCTTGGGGGTCACTGGAATCTAGGTTAAGGACCCCTGCTCTAAGGGGTCTACTGTTCATAGAATTAAAGCAAAAATTAATTAATTACTAAAAGGCCTTAGATGCCATCTCTAGTCCAATCTCCTCTTTTTATAAAACAAACAAGTCCAGAGACATGAATTGCATTCATTACACAGTAGCAAGTAGTTAAGTCAAGATTCAAACTCATAGCCTCTGACTCCAAATCCTTTATTTTTTCAACTATACCAAAACAAGATATACTTTATTGATAAAATTTTTAAGGTGACTTAGTATTGCACAATATTTAAAATGAGCTTACCAGAAAGAAGAAACTGAAAGGGAAAGAAAGATTACTTTGGAGGATAAAGGAATTATTCCCCTTCCCTCACTATTACTTTCTTAAACTACTGCAAACTGATGAGAATCCATCTCTATTTATAAAATCTCCAGAAAAAAAAAACTTTTCAACTTTCTTTGGCCACCATCTTATCAAACTGTAAATAGATGGTTAAGGAAAGAATTAGTAATCGTGACTTGGGCAATCATCAGAAAAGAACAAGTGGCCCATCAGCCTCTGAATGATCATATGGCGGACATCTAAATTACTAAATCTCTCCATTGGCTTGCTCTTCTATAGGAATTCTTTTTTCTAAAATTGAACCATTCCTGACCTATGACATGCCACTAGAATACAGGCAAGAATATGTTAATTTTGCAATGAAAGTCACTGAATTACAAAAAAATGAACCTTTGGATACTATTCTTGATGGAAAGTCTGGCAAAGACACCATATTATCAGCAATAACAGCTTTGAATATTATATACCAAAGAAAAATATAAAGTACAATAATGAAAAAAGAAAAATTTGTTTTTAAGGTCTTAAGATATTCAATAATTTAAAAGGCATTTGTTTAATCTTATATTCTAAAGAAACCTCTGAATAAAAGTTTCTATTAAAAACCTGTCTTTTTAAAATTTCTTCTAGAATGATTTCCATTTCTTTAAAGCAAGGAATTGAACACTCACAATTTTTAGTTTGAAAGTAAAATTTATTCTAAAATGCAAGTACCTGGTGATGTCTTCAGTCAGTTGTGAAGGATCAGGAGGATAAAATTTCACATTAAATGTGAATATCCATGGAAGATCTGTAATGATTAAATAGCAGGTTTATTAACAATGTCAATGATCAGATGATGGGTTTCCTTTTATGACTTCCAAAGAGAAGGAAAAAGTCATCTAAGAATTACATCTTCAGTTCTGAACACTTAATTAAGCCAAACTATGAATACCATTTATAAGAATGTCTAAGAATCAAACAAGAAACAACAGTGAAACACGGAGTAACCTCATTAATAACCTGGTTTGACTCATGTTAATTTATTAGCATTTCTCTATAAAGATTTCTTATGGCAACCTGGTATACAATCTTACCATGGCCTATAACAAATACCTGTAGGATAGTGATTCTAGAATTCCGTTCTAAAAAAAAATTGAATAAGTGGGATCATCAGATGCTTCATTTTGTCTCTTTAAGGACTAGGCTGGGGTGAAGAACTGGAGGAGGGACAAAAGAAAAAAAGAGGTTCTGAGATTTCCAAAATGTTGATGAATAAAACCACTCAGGAAATGATAAATGCCCAAGAAGGATGATCTATAAAAGAAGTACCTAAAAGAGGCTAAGTATTGTAGATAGGGTACAGGACTTAGAATCTGGATGCCTCTAATTTAAATCCTGTCTCAGACATTTACTAGCTGTATAACTCTAAGAAAGTCACTTAACATGCCTATATCAGTTTCCTCTTCTGTAAAATGGGGATAATAATAGCCACTACCTCCCAGGGTTGTTGTGAGGATAAAATATTTGTTAAATGCTTTGTAAACCCGCAAATGCTATATATATATGCTAGTGGTGGTGGTGGTGGTGGTGATAATGATGAAGACGATGAAGATGAAGAAGAAGCAGCAGCAGCAGCAGCCCCATTGATGGCAACTATCTCAATAGTCAAAGGTGTCCTACCAAATTCCTTTTACAGCACTTAATATGGTGTTGATACCTAAACCAGGAAGAGCAAAAAATTTTAAATAAAATACTAGCAAGAAGATTATAGCACTATATCACAAGGATCATACACTATGACGAGGTGGGATTTATACCAGGTTTGCAGAGCTGGTTCAATATTAGGAAAACTATCAGCCTAACTGACCATATCAACAACAAAACCAACAGATATCATGATTATCTCAACAGATGCAAAAAAAGCTTTTGACAAAATCCCACACCCATTCCTATTAAAAACACTAGAGAGCATAGAAATAAATGGAGTCTTTCTTAAAATAATAAGTATCATCTAAAACCATCTGCAAGCATTCTCTATAATGGGGATAAGCTAGAAGCCTTCCCAGTAAGATCAGGGTGTGAAGCAAGGATGTTCATTATCACCACTATTATTCAATATCGTACTAGAAACGTTAGCTATAGTAATAAGAGAAAAAAAAGAAATTGAAGGAATTAGAAGAGGCAATGAGGAAACAAAAAGCTTTCAAAGTCGTTGTGATCTCAGGCAAGTCACCATCTCTCAAAACTCTAGGCAAATCCCTAAGAAGATAAGCTGCCAATGGCTGAATAAGTTATAAACATGGTGGAATACTAACTGTGCTGTGAGACATGATAAAAGGGATGGTTTCAGAGAATCCTGGGAAGATGTATGAACTGATTCAGAGTGGAAGGAGCAGAACAATTTATACAACAACAATACTGTAAAGACAAACGACTTTGAAAGATTTAGGAAATCGTAGCAACACAATGACCAGCCACGATTCTAGGGGGCTCATGATGAAACATGCCACTCATTTCCTGGTAAGGAGAGATGTACTCAGAATGAAAATTGAGATGAGCAATGTTTTGCTTGACTATACTTTTGTATACTTTTGTTTGTAAGAGGGGATTTGTTTTTTATCCTATTTGAATGAGTGGAATCAGTGGGAAGGAAAGAAGGCAGATTTTGGCTTAGATTCTTAAAATCTAGCCAATAGCTCACTAACATTCTGACTCCTTAAGAGTCTGCCCAATATGACTGATGTTCTAATAAACCTTGTCTTTGGCTGAAAGAAGGCTTGGGTGGAATTTTTTTCAGGCAGGACCCTGAATGTCAAATCTCTGGCATTCCCCTGAGGCTATAATCCCATTAACTGGCCTTTCATTGTGGCTATGCCCAATCTGTTACCCTTAACCTAGCCTAGCCCTCCATTGTCTTACCTCCCTATGGCCCTCAGCCACTTCCCACCCTTAATCATTGCTAGGCTCCATTATCCCTTGAATAGAGGTCCCAGGAGTTCTGTTCACCCCAGCTTACTGGCCACTCCCATCTAGATCTCTTTAGACCCCTCCTCCAGTTACTCCAAACTACTTGGCCACTCCTAGATCTGTCCCACAGCCTTTCTCTATATAAGGTCCACCTTGTCTCCATTACGGTGCTTAGATTCTTATAATCTAGCCATTGATCAGATTCTTAAAATCAGCCAATAGCTCACTAACATTCCAGCTCCTTAAGAGTCTGCCCAATATGACTGATGTTCTAATAAACCTTGTCTTTGGCTGGAAAAAAAAAGGCAGATTTTTCTTGATTGAAAAAGATTTAGTTAAAAAAAAAAGACTAAGTTGCAGAGAAGGTGCTAACTTACTTGGCATAAGGAACATCCTGTCCCAGGGTACTCATTATACCAATGAAATCACAGATCCATTATTATTCCTTTATTTATATGTGTACATATCATTCCCAAGGGAATCTAAGTTCCTCAAGGATATATTGTTTCATTTTTGGTTTTGTATCCCCCAATACATAGTACAGGGATGGGTACATAGTAGGTGCTTAATAAAATCCATCAACTGCTTCAGAAATCTACTATTCATACTTGTATATAATATACATTCAATTGTTGAACATACGTAGTATAAATAAAATTTAACTATTCTAGTAATAATTTGACTTTTTAATCTGAAGCTGATATGTTCAATCTGATAAACTAACCTTTAGTTCACAAAAAATTTGTCTTCTCACAATTTAGAATGGCTTTTGGGAATAACAAAAAGGATAAATTTGACCTTATTATTTTTTAATGTCCTCCAGGTAAGAATGAACTGATAGTTTCTTTCCCTCTTAATTTTTCAACTGCAAACAGAGATACTTAAAATAATTCCACTCATGTTAAGTAAGACTTGCACTCAAGGGCTGGATAATTTTTCTTTAAAAAAAAAAAGGAAGAAAAGGACCACAGCAGTGCCTATTTTAGGCCTCTCCAAGGCTTTTAGCTGAGGGCATTTGGTTATGAGGAATCCCTTCAATCTTCTCTTATTCAACCTATTTCCTTTGCTCTCCCCTGTCCATCCTCCCACACCCCCAAGATCAACATCAAAGACAACTTAAAGGGTAAAGGAAATTAAAGGAAGCAGTAAGAGGGGGGAGGAGGGACATTTCCATTCCTTTCATCATGACATGGGCACTTCATGACATTGTGCTGGAATGAATTATTGGTGTTGGGGTGGATGTTGGGTACAGATAGAAATACACAGAGATGTACCTGCACAGAGCTAACTGAAGTCAAGAAAGTCGACGTGTTTGCCAGTATGTGCAGAAAGTCTACCAAAGGTACAAGGTCAGAATCTTGGGAGTGCTGTCCTCCCATGTACATTTAAGGGAGGATAGCTTGAAAGACCAAGGATGTACAAGAGGAATAACAGAGAGATAGAAGGCACAACAGGAGAATCTAACTAACACCAGAATCCAAGAGTCAAGGCAAGAGGGGAAAAAGGGAGGGAGATTAATTACAAGCATCAAGCATAATCTGAAAGTCATCTCTTCCCCAAACTCAGGACGTCCTTCAGTGTCATTTCCCTTTCTCAGCAGTATGGATGGTATCAAATGAATAAGAAAAAGCAGTTAGGAGTGAAAACAAGATGTTTATTAGGTATCTTAAAATAAATGGTACAATGAAATATTAATCAGTAAAAAAAAATGCTCGTGCTTAAGCGACAACATATTTTAAAAACATATAGTTCTTGTCTTTAAGGAATTTACAAAAGAAGTTAAGACACAAGTCCAATGGGATAAATGCACAGTTCAATTAATGAGCTAGACAATTTTAAGGAGCGAGAAATACCATCCAGATTAACAGTTACGGTTCACACCTGTTCCTGCTGCAGGAGTAACCTGATCACAGTAGAGAATTAATTAATTCAATATTCTAAATGAGAAGGTAGGAAAACCCCCAGTCACGGCAGTTGCAATGGAGATGCAAAGAAGTAAAGACGCAAGACAAATTGCTAAGGCTGAATCAACAGAGAGAAGGCGATGTGGCATGTAGTGGAAATAATGCTGTACTTGAAGTCAGAGGACTTGCATTCAAATCCTAGCTCTCTCATTTAGTATTTGCGTGACCTTTTTCAGGCCTATTTCTTCATTTGTAAAATGAGGGTAATGGATGAAGATATGTCCTTTAAGATTCCTTCAAGCTCTAAATCCACAATCCTATACCAAGACTTGGCAGAATATTACATGTTTGAGAGAGGAAGAGTTAGAGAAAGGGAATAAGCTTATATTATATAAAGGATCATAGAAGGAGTTTTAAAGAGTTGGAAGTGACCTTGGGGCCATCTAGTCTATATCCTTATTTTATTTTTGTTTTTTCAATATCCTTATTTCAAAGGTAAGGAAATTATGGCCCATGGAGGTTAAGATATTTTCCCAAAGTCACACAAGTAGTAAGTAAAAGAAGTAGAATTTGAATCCAGGTCCTCTAATCCTAGGAGTCATTGTCTCCAAGATTACACAGTTTGGCTAACTGGCAAGATGATGGTCATATCAACAGAAACAGAGAAAGGGAAGGTGAGAGGATAAAGGGTAGGGCTGGGAATTGAATATAAGTTTAATTACAAACATGTCGAGTTTAAAATATCAGTGGGCCATCCAGGTAGATTTATCCAAAAGACATTTGGAAATATTTTGCTGAATTTCTTCGAATAGTTTGGTGCTAGGGATATAGATTTGGGACATACCTGCAAAGAGATGATAACGAGTGCGGTCCAGGAAAAAGAGCCGTGAGTTTGGAGTAAGAAGATCTGGGTTCAAATCCTTGCTCTGTTACTTAC